AAACTTAATTCCTTTTAAAAAGGAACTGATCGTGCTATCTGCATTTAATCTTTCGTACTTTTAATCCTATAATTATTGCAGTGATTCTCACTAAATCTTCATTATAGGATATCGACCGTTTACTGCTCATTTAACTTAATTTGAAAATTTGATGAAAGCTAAATTATTTTAAGTTTAACGTTTTACTACGATTTTTTAACGTTTGAAATAAAAAAAAAATGGGATACTATTATTAAAAATAACTTTTTGAAGCGTGTCATCATCAGCTACAACGTATAGGTACCGGTCCTTCGCATATACAGAATAAAGGGATAATTTTTGTTTGGTATAAGTTATCGTTCATCCAAGAGATAACTATCATTGATTTATATGTATTTAAAAGATCGAAAAATTCACTACTGAATGTTGGCAGAAAATTTAAATCCGTTCATAAAAACTTTCGTTAGAGCAGGTGTACCAGACGGAACACTGTTTCCAGGATGGATGGCAATAAAAATAACTATTTAAAAGTTAGTTTCCGAGGTCTACCCATTTAACCAATTATCTTGTAAGCAATTTTACAGTTTTGAAAGATTTTACTTTTCCAATATGTTCTAGCAATAAGGGTGCTTTACATCGAACGAACGATCGATTTATGTATTTCATTTCAACTTTAAACGCCAAAGTGCTACACAATTTATGGTTTATTTATTTTTTACTGTTAACAGTCGCCTGATCTAAAGTTATTAAACAACAAAACAAGTTGTATGATATTAATTTAGCGATACATTTTTCTGTTCAGCTAGAAATAGAAAGCCAATCAGATCAATTCTTGGTGATGTGTACGACTTAAGCAATCAAAGTAATAGAATGTCGTCACTGTAGCTAAGTCCCGCCTTCATAAATATATTAATTATTTTTAATAATTTGATAATCACTGTTTTATTAATAATTTATAAGTAACTTATACCTTCGAAATCCGTGATCGAATAGTAAGTATTGCAAAAAATATTTGTCAGTGAAACCCATGATTTATAAAAACCAAGCAACACCGAAAAAGTAATGATTTATTTTCTTAACTAGCTAGCACTACCACAAAATTTGTAAACTTAGCAAAATTTTGAAGAAAATTAGAAATAATTAAATGTAAAATGGTTTTTAAAGTGGTGAAACACCGAAACTGTTTGAAAGAATAACATTAATAAATTGGCAAAATGTTTATCTTCCAGGTTAAATTTCTCTAGTGACAGTTATAATCTACACTCATTTTTTTATTGTCAAGAGTTATAACAATATGATTATCAAAAACTTGTTTATTTGAGTTGTTCGTTATTTTAAATGCGGAATAGACAAATACAGGGTTATTCAGCCAAGATGACCCATTTATGTTTTTAAAATAAGCAATCCAAAATACCGATTCCACCTGAAACTGGATTGCAAAAAATGTTTCAAAATTGAATTGTATCAAAGTTCAATTTTGAAATATTTTTTGTAATCCAGGTTCAGGTGGAATCGGTATTTTGGGGTGCCTATTGTAAAAACATAAATTGGTCAGCTTAGCTGAATAACCCTGTATAACTGAATCAAATATGAAATAAGATTTTTGGTTTTTCAAAGTAGAAGTACCCAAAACGACTTTGAAACCTGCATTAAGATTATAAAGATAAGATGAAGAAACTGAAACCGAGTAGGTTACAGGTGCAAAAAAAAAATAGTAAACAGCAATATTAACAACTAACCCGGTAAAGAAAAATGAAAATTACATTTGGTCTTCGCAGAATTCCAATTATATTCTGTTTATCATGTCTGTAACATTTTTATTCGGAATCTGTATCTGCCATTGCAGTAAAACAGTTAGATATTCGAAAAATATACTCTCCACTGTTTGGGTACAGCATATCTCTTATTTAAGTACTAACTGAATGGTACTCGGCATTCGGCCCAAATTTGTGGCATCTATAAGCTGTGGTTAGGGGTTTATTAAGCGCTTGAGGCGTTCAGCTTATTGTTACGTCCCCATGCTTTTTGGTATTGAACAATAATAAAACTCCTTATACGCTAGTACCTGGGTTCATATAATAATTATTTGAATTTTTTATTGCCTACTTTACCAATTTTAACTTTACTTCAATAAAACTTTAAAATTGATACTACTAATGCTAGATTTTTTTTTCAGTGGGGATATATTTTCTGTATACCCGTTCATTTTTAAATATTTATTTTTTTCTTAACTGAGATTTATTAAAAATCAGAATCATATCTACCTGTAGATGTTTGCAAAAACAAAATTAATAAAAAATGGTCACAACTTCGTCGTGCTAAATATAATGAACCACCACTTTCTGCGTTTTGTAGGTTTTTTTTTAATTTGTTTTTGCTTATAATATGCTTGTATCATAGGAACATTATTTAAAATAAAACAAAATTGCTTAAATCGTTAAATTTAAAAATCGCATTAAACTGACTACTAAACTTGTTTACAAAAAAATTGTGTATCAACTATTTAAATATAGATACTGAATATGCACTTAAAATAGTTATTTTTGTAACAAGTTCGCGAGATGTACGTGCATATATTGCATCAGAATGAAGCTTTATTGGCAAACCGCTAACTGAGTTATTTGAATGCGTAAAAGAGCTTTCAGGAATGAGTTACACACGTTACACAAGCACAAATTATTATTATTTCTAAGGTACTAGTACTAGGACCGAAATTAAAAAAACAATCATTAAAATATCTTGTACTTTCGCATGTCTATTACTCCCTTTTTTGACTGCTGTTGAAAATAACTATAAGACATATCAATATGAATAAATTCAGTTTTTTTGCATAACAGAGTACCCAATCATGCCGTGTTAATGATATAGAGTAGTCAGTGACAATTTTCTATAGTGTACCTAATTTAAAAAAAGATCTATTTGATTTTTGATCAAAATGTATTTGCTCATCCCCCCCTAAAAAATTGATGACGTCACCCCATAATTTTGCTGAATAAATCCTATCTAAAATGTACAAAATATGACGAGTGTGTACTTGTTATTTATCATTCTACTCATATTTTTTCGATTTGCGTATACAGGCTGACTCAAAAAATTATCATTGTATTTCAGTAGTTAGGGAAGGAACTTTCGGCCAATTTTTTCTTGTTATTGTAGAATTCATAAATACATTACTCCCATATATATTATATAGATACCGCCAATAGAAATTGGTGCCCTAGTGAAAGTGCGAAAAATCTACGATTTACACTCATTTACTGTTTTACTACACCCTGGTGTGGTAAAATAATTCGAAATTTTTTAGTGTTCAGATGCCCTTATGGATATTTTTGTATTGGAGATATTATAAAGATGTTTATGCCCTTCCGAGGTCGACAAGTTTGTAGAGACAAGGGCTTCACTCGAACTTCAATCCTAGGGCATGTAACGCGCCCGAGGGCAATAAACATCAAGTAATACCGATATAGTTTGATTCAACTTAAATTAAAAATTTTAAATATGTAATGTCAAAATATCTATGACTTTGTCATTAAAATGTCATCATAAGCGGGCGATAAAAGACAGAAACTCTGGCATCGGGCGTAAAACTTAAAAAATGTACGCGGGCATTATGGTCCACCTAATATATCTCGTTTCTAAAATATTAACAGCAGAAATCTAATGATTAGGTGAAAGCAGTAAAAAGCGCGATCAAAGAGAGCCATTGATTTTTGAAAGTTTTTCTTTGATTGTTGCAGTTTCAACTCAATCGTTCAAATTAACAGTAATCAGACATGGTGAAAATTCTATCTTCGTTCTCAAAAATCTTCAAAAATCGATGGCTGTCTTTGATCGTGTTTTTTATTGCTCTACTAGTAATAAATACGTAAGTTTTTGTTCAACAGGACATTTGAAAAATAATGAAAATTAATATTTTTTATGACAGTGAGAATTATTTTGACGCAACGCTTACCACAAAATTGTTTAAAGCAACGCAGGTACTCGATGAATTACAATAATAACAAGCAAGGCTCGAATTTGTAAGATTAGTATAAAGTAAAAATACGTAGAACAACAAATTTAATACATATTACTTGTGCGTTCGGCATTTTACAGTGCTCGGTTTTGTTAAAACCATTGATTACGTACATATGTAAATATTTAATCAATGTTAAAGCACTCCGCTTCGCGTCGTGCTCCAAAATGAAAACCTCGCCTGTAAATAACCAATCAACCAAATAACCAACCTACCGCACTAATAATGTAAATATTATTGTAAATAACTATTGTGGTACCAGGACAGTAGTCGTATAGATGTTAACTTGGGACTGCAGGTAACCTATTTAGGTACAAATTGAGATAATGTAGACAGTAACAATTGAGTTATAAAAATGTATAAAAGTGTTTAATTATAATAATTATCTCAGTCATTATATCGCTATCAAAAAATGTCCAAAAATGTTTAGTTACAGTAGTATGGTAGTAGATATAGTAGTATAGTAGTATATTCCGGATATTGAGTAGCAATCAACCCAGCATTTTTTGCTGCAACAAGAGTTTACTGACTGGTGAGTTTATTATAAGGAGTATCACCTTTTACAAGGACGATGTTGTAAAAATGAAATAATAAGGGTTGGAAAAGTGTATTTAACAGGACACTTTTATTTCTAAGGGAAATAAATATCTCCGCAGGATTTTCAGTTTTTACGAAATGTTATAAATATGGATTTATTACTCTATAGTAATCCATCACACTTATCTTTAATTTTTTTCAGGTACTTATCCAATGTTTTTTTTATTTAAGCGCTATTAAGTACAGTACCGCTGTTTAAACAGTTTGAACAAACGCTCATTAGTTTTTCGTGTGAGTTATGCAAGCGTATAACCTCATTAAATCGCGTTCGTCGCGATCTTCCTTGTATGTAGGAATTTGAAATGAAATCAATCGAAAAGGAATCTGTGCGGAATTGGACAATTATAACGTACCTAAAAATTATGCAACCAACACAACACCAGCGTACTTTATTACGTGGCTGTTGCAGAAATGAATAATTACGCTCATATCGGTCATTTTTAAAACAATGATAATCGAAAAACCTCAAATCGCCCTACGATCGTCCCTTCGATGCAACTCAGCCCCAAAGGACCCCATCCAGACCGAAAAATAAATTTCTAGAAAGACAGTTTTTCATCTAACTGACATCAAAACAAATATAACAGTATCAGACAGTTTGCATGGCAGTGCAGGAGGTAGAAAATTGGGTGGCGTTGTAATGACAGAAACTGGGCAAAAAGGTAAGTTATCACCCCGAAACCCCAAACCGAAGCGAAATTTCGGAAAAGAGTGTTCGAAAAGGCGTATTTGTGCGTGCGGTCGCGAGGCGGGCGTTGTGTGGCGGCGATCGGGGGCATAATTCTCGCGAGAAAAGCCCAATAAAATCCACAATGGCGGTAAAAGGTGACAACGAACGTGGTTTTGTTGGCTTATTTGTGCGAACGCCATCAATCCCCATCACGCGGAGTAAAGCGTGATTGATGGGGCGGCGGGCACGCCGTTCGGGGGCGGCGGCCCCCGGGCGCGGGCCTAACTGTACTTCCCGCGAACGCGGTTCCAGGTCAGATAACACTACCCGCTAATAGAGCGCTTTGTAGGTAACTCGTAAGATGGACCAGCAATTCTGCCTGCGTTGGAATAATCACCCCACGAACCTCACAGATGTCCTGAGCAGTCTGCTTCGGAGGGAGGCCCTTTGCGATGTGACGCTGGCGTGCGATGGGGAAACCTTCAAGGCTCACCAGACGATCCTGTCGGCGTGCAGCCCCTATTTTGAGACGATATTCATCCAAAATGCTCACCCCCATCCCATCGTATTCCTCAAAGATGTCAATTACAACGAAATGAAAGCGCTGCTGGATTTTATGTATAAAGGTGAAGTGAACGTGTCACAGAACCTCTTACCGATGTTCCTAAAAACGGCCGAGGCCTTGCAAATTAGGGGCTTGACCGATAATAATTCGTTAAGTAGTAAAAATGATGATATAGCTGAAGTGCCAAGAAGAGAAAAAGAGAGAGAACGACTCATGGAGAGGGACTCGCCACCCATCGAGAAACGCAAAAGGAAATCGTCTTCAAACTGTGATAATATGACGTCAAACTCAATTTCTGAACGATATAATGACTCTCAGGTACCGGGATTGTGGTAGGGGGTTGATTATGTTTGCTAGTTTTGTCCTTGTAGGCATCATCTCAAAGCAACTATAAAGCAAGTCCAACGCTGCCAAAGTTAAATCCAATTTCACCTGTCGACAGAGAAAATCTGAGTGCCGAAGATATGAGGATGTCATCACCACATATTAAACAAGAACCTGGTCATGATTCGAGTCCGCATGTCGATTCTTTTCACTCGATGTCTGAAGCTTTACAAACAGTAAGTAATCACCACTCTATCAAATCTTAGACTACATAAGGTTTTCTAAAAGAAGAATACAACTCGTACACTGTCACGTCCAAAATTTGTTATGGTATCTCCGTAATGTCTTTTTTGTTAAAAAAAAAATAATAATAATTAGAAAGACTCATTTATGCTGTTGATTGAACAGATGATGCACAGTTTTGGGCCAGTAGGACACTAATGCAGTGAAAAGAATGTTAGTTTTTCTGTTGTTATTTTATTTAAATAAACCTATTTAGCCTGTTTATAAACGGACATTTAAAAAAGAGTAATGTTGCTTCATTATTTAAGATTTAAAAATCAAAATTGTATTTTAGATTGATAGTGCTTTTGTATTTGGCGTAAATTTGACTTATATTAATAATGTATCGGTATTTTTCGTATGTGAAAACAATAATTTTAAAGGTCCAAGTGATCATGAGACGGTTAGTGGTTGAAATTTGAACTGTATTTACCTCACTGAAAAACAAATTATCATGTGGAACATTCACTACAAATTGGCTTACCCTAATAAGTAAATTTGGTTTCATTTTTATAAGTTGTTAAGGCATTGCTTTTGTTTAATCAAATATTAGCACAGCGGGGCCTAACAGCAAAAATTCTACAAACTTGGCAAGGAGTTAGAGAAAAATCAAGTTCATATCACTGTGTTATTGTCCTGGGTCCTAAGTTCGTGAGTTATTTGTATACAGTTGTGGCTTGAAAGCAAGTGTAGAAATCCGTGGTGATTACAACGAATTTTAGACGTGAAATCTGAGATACTTCTAAATAACCACAGTGTTAAATTCTCCCAGTCTGTTTTTAAATAACAGGTTGTATTCACGTCTTTAATCGCATTTTACATTCGCAGTTGTGTCCTTGAGCTTGTCTATTTTATTACGGTTTTATTTGTAGTGAAATTATGTCGGTGCTGATTAATTATCTAAATAAACCTAAGAATTTAATCTTAGCATTGCTATCAAATCTCAGTACCTACATGTAATACTGTCGTGTAATTGTATATACTGAAGCAGATTGAAGCCGTAATAATTTTATCACGTTTTGTTGTACGACATTTTTATCAAAAGAAGATTGCTAAAAAAAAAAAACAATGTGATATTTACAACACTGAATAATTAAAATATGTTAATGGCTGGTTTGATACGGCACCAATTTTTCAATTAAAATTTTTCCAAGAGAAAAACGTGCAACTAATGCCATTGAAAACCGGAAAAATTGTTTAAAAAATATAAATAAATGTACATTTTTATTTATTTATTTTTTTCTATTTGAACAACTTACTTTATGATTTAATATATATTTTTTCATTTTATTATAGCATTTTGTTTCATAGTGTATTGTCACTTCATTTTTTTACTTGGATCAATATCTAATTTTACGTTTTCTTGGCGTTCCGCAATTTCTAGAATACAAAAATGTCAGTTTCTTGTTTCCGTTCGTTATCGATAGTTGACGAAATTCTTAGACAGCAAATAATCTGAGAACTACCGAAACGATTACTTTGATATTTTAGATCTACTTTTTTATCGTCGGTCAAATGCTACAATGCTAATCAAAATTTCTATATTCATCCCGTCGGATACATGATTGATTCTTAAAATACTGTGTAGTTCAAATCACTTTATCTTGTTTATGTTCGTTTATTGTTGTTTAAGCCGATTTTGATTTTCAATTTTACATATACAGGCTCATCAGATTTAGTCTTTACAGTGTTACAGTTTATCTTAAAGGTAATGTCACAGACTTCTTTAAAATTTTATTGTAACACTACCATTGATTTGGAAATTAGAAAATATAAACTAGACTTTATTTATTCATTCTAACGATTGTATCAAAAGCTGTCAACATAATTTCCATGTGCTTTTGGTAACACAGTACTGTTATTATTGTCGCATGTCGTTATATTGTTAAGTTGTATGTATATGGGGGGTATCAAGGTTCAAATATGTATCCCTATCAAAAAGTTAGTGATATCTCAAATAATATCTAATAAATCTTCATTGAAAGATACGTTTGAGATATGATATTGTGTGTGTTTCAGTGATGTTTTTATTGTTTAGAAATTCTAGGAACAGTTACGTTATCATTAGTGATGTACTATATGTATCATATATTTATCACTACCAAAAAAATTGATGACGTCACCTCAAAAAAATTATATACATTTTTTTTTAAGTCTGCCCGTAGTCACAGGCGGTATTGTTGCTGTATTGCGAGATGCGAAGTTGTTTGTTAAAAACAGATTTTTTATGCTCTCACCACTTCTGTAAATTTTTGGACAAAATTCCGGTTTAAGATTAGTGTTGTGGGAACAGTTGAATCATTTACAACTTGTTAAAACGTATTTTATAAAACAATTCTGAAACCTTTTACAAAAAATCTTGCATAATATAGATTTTCCAAAGTTAACAGATATAAAATAATAAAATCATGCACCTTTTTTAGATATTTATTATAGATTCAGACTTGTCGTTACATCTTAACGTAATGAATAAATCAATTACGAGACACATTTCAAACTGTGAAAACGACAATACTCAAATTGTGACAAATATCTTAAATTTTTTCGTTTGTTAACTTTGAGATATTTGAACACTGAAATTTTTTTTGTAACATGGAACAAATTGATTTAATTTTTTAAAACCGGAAAGTATGGGACCAGATTTTCATTTTGTACTGTTTGTCTAATTTTTTTGAGAGGTTAAAAAAGTTTCACAGTGGATTACCCTATGTCTTATACCGCGGGATCAGAAGTGACTGAGTCTGTTGGCAATCCTGAATTTTTAGTTGAAATTGGTATCATAATGTTTTGTATAATAGGGTTGTCAGCTGTCAAGATTGACAGATTGTTGACATTTTTAATTTGCAAAATGTAGAGTCCCTAGATATAGTATATCTAGGGATTCTAGCAAAATGTATTCAAAATTTAACCTAAATTTAACACATGTCACGACTGACATATTTGTCACACAATTACTTCCGTTATGCCAACATAAACGCAAGAAAAGTTCAAATTTTTGTTTAAAAAGTACTGCCAACAGAGTCATTAAGTTCTAATCACGCGGTAATATTATGGTAATTCTGATCCTTAATAAAAACATTTGACACATATTTGATCTAAATGACGCCTTGTTGTCAATATAATAGTTAAATTTAAAGATTTTGTTAACAAAGAAACTATTGTATTGAGTGTACCTAAGGTGAGTTAATTTATTTCATCACCTATGTGTGTGTATACTCGATTCAATTAAAACACATTTTCGTAAGTAAAAAAAAGACGGAAAAATGCCGGCACACGTTTGGAGATTTGATGGTAATAATATAAAAATTCAATGTTGCTTCAGTGACTTCACGCATTGATGGAATGATGACATTCAAAGACAAACTTTCCAACTGCAGTTTATAATCGTGGCCTACTCTAATTTCTTATTTATTGCGAAATATAATGTGAGTTCACTGTTCATGAAGAGATACATTATTGTCGAAAAAAAAAGATTGTTTTGAAGTGAAGTGAATTCAGTCCTACTACTAAACTGTGTGACTATTTGAGTTAAAAATTACGTACTAGCAAAAGCGCGCCAAATTTGGGGCAAATTATAATTAAATCTAAAGCAACTTCCAGATGTTATTTGCGTCAAGTGATTTCTTGTAAAAGACGTAAAAAATTAAAATATCAGAAACAGGTTCGAAAAATATGTGAATTCATTTTTACAAAGGCATAATTTTCGCAGCGTTTGATTCGTCTACATCTTTTTAGAATCCCTGTATTAGCCAGAGACTTATTTTCCAACTATAAATAGTTAAGGGAAGTATTATAATGGAGGTATTTTGATCTGCGACAAATGTTCTGCATCTTTTTTTTCAAAATTTCGAAAATGCAGGTCTGTCTGCCTGTCTTTTTTTTTTTAGTTTAAGTTGTTTCCTGAACCACTTTTTCTTTTACTCTTGAAATGTAAACATATTTTTATTTATCGTGAAGATACTGAAATGCCAACCAAAATTGGTAGATTCTTTCAAAAAAACTAATGACGCCAGCACAACATTGAGTTAAGTATATACATATATGAGTTCAAGTATGTAGCTCATCATGGTCTACGAAAATTTTTAACTTCATGTATGCGGCTTATTGTACGAAAAAATAAAAAATTGATACAAATAGTGTTAAAAGTCTTCAGTTGAAATGATGGGATACTGCTTGTGGTTGAGTAATATCTTTTCATTTTCCTATGATTTTTTCCAGAACCGTTTAAATAACACCAACAGACTGATTTATTGTATCTATTGTTTCGGAAATTTTTTTTAATTACCATGAAATTTTGAGAATACATTAATGTTGTGATTTGTCTGACGTTCAAACAAAAATTTATATTTCGTCTGCACTAAAAGATGATGACTGATGACACTTAAAACATTATTGATTCATATTTATTGAAAAATATGTGTCAAGATCCATCCTGTAGTTGTACTTCAAATCTAAGTACAGTTCTGTATCAATAACTATATATTTTTTATTTTAGTAGGTCGCGTATGATGTATAGTGTGCAACATGTTTTGTCTTGATCCAATGATCAAAAATTATTATTACATAAAAATTAAGGCAGACAGCTGCCCTGTTATGTTGATAAACAACATGTAGTTAAACTCTGTGTATATGAAATACATATTATATAAAATATAATTCAATAAAAACACTGTTTTAGAACTTCATAAAGTCGTTATTTTCAGTTTGCGGACAAATTTATCATGGAATTTAATTTGAGTCAAAGAAAAAAAAATATTGATCGAAAAACCTACACACAGATTCTAAATTCAACCCAAATACAATGAAGCCACCTATTTTGGTTTGTATTACAAAAAACATTAAATTTTGTTGTTATTAGATAGTTGGTGAAATTGGGGAACTTACAGCGTACCGCAGTCTCTTTATTTACATTAAGAAAAGTTTATCTGACAGCGGTATTATTCGGTTTTTTATACCTTCTTGTATGCCATTTTTGATGCTTTTTAGTAGAAATTTGACTTTAGGTTGAGAGTTCCGTAGTTTCACTAATTGTCTGTTAAAAATTTTTGTGGGTATTTTTTCAACTAGCAAATAAAAAAGAAACTTATTTGGTTGTTTGTAAAATTCGAATATTTTTATTGTCTCGTATTTTGTTATTTTCCGTCGTTAAAAAATTAATGCGGACTTGATTCTGCTCGTTGTGAAACATTTAAACCGCTTTTTAAAAATCGTTTTAAAAATAGTACCTTACGAGGAAAAAACAGTGTTAATATTTTCCTGTTCAGTATCTAATAAGTTTAAGGCAAGTTTAAATTATTTTGTATTTACAGAATCAGAGGAATCAACGAAAATTTCAAATTTAAATATTTTCAATTGTTACAAAGCTGAAATGTATACACCACGTATAATATATGAGTGCTATAAAGTTCGTAACGCGTAAAATTCTTCTTTTATTAAATATTCTCTATTTTAATATTTTTATTAACGTTAACATTAAAGTTAAATTTTTATAACAAGTTGCAATATGTGATTCTGCATTTTTCCTGTACCGTTTTTTAATTGTATTAAATTTAATTTTAAGTAATGCAGTAATTTTTCAATTTTACATTAATTTTTTTTATAACGAACATTTTGGTCATGTTATCAATGTGTCGGTTTTGCTTGCGTCCATTGTCAAAATAATATCGGCAATTTTGTCTTGCTGAGCATCAATGAAATTTTTTGCAGTAACGACCTTGACTGCACGTGTCAGTCTAGAGCATGAACTTCATTGTAGAAACCTCACTAATCAGCATTCTGAGTTTATGAATTTAATAATGAAAGACTTTAATGAAATTCCACTTAACAAAATCGGCAGGTGACTAAATTCGTTGCAAATTTGTGGTGATGCAGATTCATAGATGTTGCATTATAATGAGGTACAAGTGTTATTAAAACATAATTATACCCTCGATAAATGCATGAAAAGTGAATTACAATAATCGTATTTTATTAATTTGGAATTCAAACATTAAACTAGTATTAATTAAAATTATATTATGTTACTCCAGGATTGAATTATGTGTTTATTAAACGAAGCGATGCCTAATTATAATATGTTGTGTTATGGAGTGGCAGTTTAAAATTTGTTTTGTATCGTTTTACGACTTTTGTGTTTCGATGATGATGATGATGTAATAATCAAGTAAAATGAGCGAAATATTTACATGCCTTTGCTTTTACTCATTTGTTTTCAATTCACGTTTTTATGCAGAACCGGTGTAGTGAAACTTGTAGGAAATACAAATAATGCAAAAGTAATATTTTTTCGGTAACTTTTAATCTTCTGAACGTAACAGGATATGTGTTAATGCAAGTTCGTGGTGAGTGTTTGTGTTGACATGAGTGTTCCATTGATAGTATTCTCCCCTACTAAAGAAGGAAGGGATGCAGTTCTCTCATTCAAAATTCAATCTCGTACACTTCGTGGTAATTACATTGTCAAAAAATGCAATTTTCACGATGCGTGCTTTAAAAGATAGCTGTGAATTTGAGCATTCACACATATCCTTTCCTTCTTTGTTAACAGAGTAACAAGTGGGGGAGGGACGTGGTCCTCGAAATGTTGCCATCGAATACTACGTTAAGACAGTACTTGGAAGCACCGACGTCCACCATGCAGCAAACGACTCAAGAGGAACACGCAGACAGTTCCATCCACAGAGTCTGGACGGATAGAGATTTCCAACACATGCAACAGACTTGCGACAATATTAGTATCTCTCCAGTGAAGACCTCCACGTCGCAGGAGTGCTCCGTCATTCAGACAGCCCAAAAAACTACCAAATCCACCCCAGTGAAGCCCAACGTTGGCAGGAAGGGCAGTCGTTTCAGGACGACGTGGCTGGAGTCGTATTTCTGGCTGCAGTACGACGAACAGGAAAATTTGATGTATTGCAAATTTTGCAGGAAATGGAGCGCGGATATCCCGGATATTCGAACCTCCTTTGCGGAGGGAAGCACGAATTTTCGTCTGGAAATTGTTAACCACCACGATAAATGTAAAGCGCACAGGCTGTGCCTGGCCAGAGAATTTGATTGCGAAAGTAAAAGAAATCTGCCGAGTAACTTTGAGTTGTTAAACTAGAGCTGGTCTGTTTTCAACAGCGTCCTTGATTTTATGGTTGTCTTTGTTGTGCCGGTGTCTGTGTTCTTGTTGTGAAACAGATGTTGAACAAGTGCGACGATGTTGATGACAGACTTATTTTTAAAATAGGGAAGTTTGCAATTTCGGGCCTTAGGAGCGTTGTGATAGGTTGTGATTTGATCGGTTGTCCAAAGTAAATGAATACGACAGTTAAAAATTTTGTTATTAAAAAGGCTAGTGTTACTCGTTAAGGAGAAGTGTTTAATGTTTTCGACATACGTTATTTTTGTGAAAATTCAATGTTGAAGTTATAATATATCATGTCTATGCTTTTATAGATTTAATCGTATATTGTTTATAGATAGTTTACTGTTGTAACAAGTGATGAATAAAAAGCTTCGAAAACGGCAACCTTTTTATTTCCTGCAGTCGCGTAGTGAGAAATATTATCTGTTGACATGTATCCTTTTATTTATGATGTTTTTTCGCTAGGGTGGAAGTGTAAGCGTTCATCCAGAAGATATTAAATCACTGGGCCCACATTCGTTATCAGATCAAACTGAATCAGATGGTACTCCACCTATACCTCCTCCCGAAGCAACAGATACTATAGATGGTAAGTTGTGCAGAGCAGTACTAGCATGCTTAGCTTTTTGTAAAAATATCTCGATTTTTCTTGAAGAAATTAATTTTCAAGTGTAAAGGAAACTTGAAGGTTGGTTTATCGTTGGCATGTTTTATTCTTTGATTTTATGGGTATTAACATTTTCCGCTTTTTGTACATATTTACTGCTTTTATTCTTTATTACACTTTAATAACTAAAACCGAGCATATCACGACAAGTGACTTGTGACAAGTGAAGTGTTGTCACGTCGAAAATTGTAAATTATGTTTAAATATTTCACTTGGGATTCAAAATATAAGTTAAAATAAACGAATGTAAGTATAAATGATTATTGATAAAAGTTGTTTTCCTATTTTAGCTCAAGAGAGTTTTAAGATTTAAAATTTATTTGTGCAGGATGTTTCTGCAAGTTATGTGGGCAATTATTTGTAACTATAACTCTTTTTGCAGTCACTTTCAGCAACATTCTGCCCAATTGTTTTATTTTTTATTTAAGGCCGGAAAGTTGTAGTTTTTAAGATGATTGAAATAGTATAAAGCAAATACATATATAGAGTGCCATCACAGCTAACTATTTGAAATAAGAAATATAAAACATTCGGGTGCATAAATAGTAAACTATACATATTTTTAGCAAACATGTTTTATTAAAGTGTTAATATTTTTACAAGTGGTTAAAGTTGTTTCAATATATGCTGTCTTTCGAATCGTCAACCGAATGTCGCATCTCAGAGTTTGTTTTAAAGACAATATATTGCTTATTAGTGAATACTGGTATGTGATAGAAATTACGTTTAGTGACGCATTGAAATATGACAGTAATATCAAACATAGAACTGATAGACATATTGATTATGTATACATTATATATTTTTTGCAGCAGTGATTTTACATAATAAGTCAATTTGAATGTACATATATATTATTACTCTGTATATTTTCTTTTGTTTTAATTCTATATGAATAATTATGGTCGTGTGGCCACGTGTAACGCATATTGTGAATGGTTCGGTACATTTTGACTTTCAAGCAGTAGTTTTGTATGACCAATTTTCGAAATTTAACGAAAGAGATTTTCTTGTAGATTTCTACCTCTAGAACTTAATTTCCGACTCATTTCGTAGATAGCTCCTATCATTTTCCTAAAGTCGCCGATTGAAATATTGCATTTTTTAAATTTATACTTCAGTTAATTTTAAATTAGTTAAATATACAAAACATATCAATTACTAATAGTACAATTTCTACTACTACTGTATCGATATTTCATTCAAATAATTTGTCAAAGTGCTAAAAGTTTTATATTTATGTATCAGAAGTCAATATTACCATGCGTCTATTTTTTCAGCACAAGTTTATGAAGATAATTTAAGTTTTGTTATGTTTTTGTTCTGATAAATTTATAGATTGAAGGGATATTTTTTAATAACACGCCTTCCATAGAAATAGATACTTTTGTTAATTATAAAATAAAAACTTGAGTTCTAGAGGGCTAGATAAAAATTAAGCATAGAACTTTGAAACAGTTGCTAGTATTACACTCTTTATCTCAATCTTTGTACCTTTTATAAAACATATGTTTGTTGCCACTCGATGGTTTGAACCAAGAGTAGAATATTGGCTTAAAACAAGATTTGAGAAACCAGGTTGACCTATTTTTCCAATGACAAAGAAGCTTTTACATTTTAAAATATATAGTAGTATACGGTTCTAAAAATTCTACACTTCAGTTTATCAAGTTAGTTGGCAAGAAATGTTATTCCGGGGACGTATTTCATCAAATTTTCGTACTATTGTTTAGTTTTGTCCTGTTTTCTTAATTGTTTAACGTGAAATATTTTTTCGTATGTAAGGCAAGTCGCGATCGAAACCGTAAAGTGTTCTTAGCTATTTTTTTACCTCTTGCACTTTTCTGCTAGAAGCTGCCGTTTTCTTTTAAAAATAAAAATGACGAAGTCATTTGGCAAACAATTCGTCGTTGTTGAGCTTCGATTCGAATCACAATACGATTTATTTTCGCTCAGTTGGTTAACACAAACTTAAATAATAGGTAGTATGGGAGATTAGTACCAAGAAGTAACAATACAAATGTTTTTTAACAATTAACTCAAAAATTGAAGTCTTCCTGGTTGTTGGAAGAATCTTAATAAATTATTTTGTTTAATAAACAGTTTGTCGATTTACTAGAAACAGTAATTTTTAGCAAAAACGTCCAAGAGATGAAAACGCAAAATCAAAAGTCTTTATTATAATCTGTGATGTTAAATCCTTGTTTATTTCATTTACAAAACTTCTTGCATATTCAACATATAAGAAGTTAATCCTTTAGAATCTTTATGAATATTTCGTGAAGTATATGCCTTGCCACTAGCTACTTATCCAAATTAGGTATTAGTTTAAACCGTTTAAATGTTATTCAGGTTATTGCTTATCATTAGTTAGAGAACATACTTGACTTAATAAATGATTTTTATTCTAGGACATTAAAACCTTGTAGCACTGATATACTAGAGCATTTTTTTTTCGCACGTGAAACGTTTTAGTGTAGACTTACATTTCGTCTTAGCAGTCCAGTAAAAATTATTCTCGACAAAGTTATGTAACGAACTGTAATTTTCTTTAAAACTATTGGAAAACAAATTATTGCGTAAATGACGTACCAACTGTTATGTAGGTATGCATTACGTTTTAAACTTAACTGATTAATTTAACTATATTTAACCGCAACATACATAAGAAAATAATTTTAGTTGGTTTTCTTTGAAGAAAACGTAATGTTTAATAATCATTGTTTTTTGTTTAGAACGTCTCATTTATTGTTAATATACACAATACATGAACATTGTATACATTGTTTATTTTTTTATTATTTCCGCAGAATCACTGCGAGCATAAGGTTTAGATTTCTCCTCCAATTTTATACCTTATTTCACCTCAACTGTTATTTGCCCGTATTCAGTTAACAGTGAATGAAGTAGTCACGTGGATATATTGTAGGATAATGGTAACGATTCCCAAAGTTAGTGTCTAATTTAATTTCATGAGCAGAGAGCGGACTAAACCGGGTAACTTCAAGTGGTCCATAGGCTGCCACCGTAGCTGCATGTAGTAAGGTTCGATTGCAGTTCAAGTAACTAAATGTTTTTTTTTTTTTCCTAAATTGTCGTCTGTACAACTGTGTTTGTAATGTTGGGTTTTATATCTAATGTGTAAAATCGATGCCGCTGAATATGCGTCAATTTGAAGGAAAAACTAACCTTTCATTTAGCCATCTGAAAGTTAAACGGTCCGACGGGAGGTTTAGGTGCGTCATTGTACTGGTGGTTTGCCGGGTCACCCCCTGAAATCCGCTGTTTGTTCGTGACGTTTCGCGACCCTTGGGTATTCTCTGTTATGACGATTATAGTTCGTCTTTTTAGCCGCATTAATGCATTGCAGGTTTGAACGATTATCTTGTTCCTAAATTTCTCATTATTATTTATGATACTCTAATCTTTTGATTTTTTTTGTTTTTCGTTTTTTTTTATGATATCTTCATTGTCACTTTTTTAGTGAAAGTTCGTTGTTGAAACAACTAGATTTTATGTGACTTAAAAATAGGGCATTTCGATAAGTTATGTAAGTTATATTAGAGTTGTGCAGCTCTTGGTTTTGCACACTGGCGATCTTTTTGGTCATGAAGATATACATGTAATATATAAATACAATATTGATACTTAAAGTTGATGCATTGCATCTACAAGTACAAATATCATGCATTTACAAAGATTGGATTCAGTAAAAACTATATGCAGCTTTCAGTTGTTCACCTAGTTTGCCAGGCATAAAATGGTGACTTAACTATTGTTAGCATTTAAATCACTAGTTAATAAAAATAATTTAAACTTCTTATTCATTAGTTTTACTACTTTCAACATGCCTAAGCAAAAAATTAAAGTATTTATAATTTGTCGTTTCACGTTGTTTAATAAATTTTCCTAGTTGCACAAGAGTTTCATTGATTGATTTTTTTTAATAAAACTCTTGAATTATTTTGTATTGATTTTTTTAAGTTAAAACTTAATAAAGCTGTTATTTCAACGTCACCAAAATTGTAAAATTTTTAGGACCTTATTTAAGAGGCAGTATAAATATCGTTATAAATTTATTTCAGTCGTCACTTGATATATTTAACACACATTTCCAGAAACTGCTTTTACAAACTGTACACACATCATAAGAGTAATGTTTATTTATAACATAACGAAAAAATGTATGCGATAAATCTCGCAAAACACTAACCGCTTATGCATTGAATTTTTGCTTGCAGTCAGTTGCAATTGAAAAGACAATAGAATATTGCTGTGATATTGCTATTGTTTTGGTAGATGGTGATGATGGGTCCTCTCTCTGTTCCAGCTACGTGGCAGGAACAGGGACAGGCGTACCAACCATCATCTTTCTATCATCCAGAACAAATGAGCTACGAAACGAAAATACCGACGATCGTAGAGACTCGCGCGCCGGCCGCCGATTATTGCGAGATGTTCGACAAGATATCGGATTCGCCTAGTCTGTACAATTGTAAAATATGTGGAAAAACAGTGAGCAATCGTTGGCATCACTCTTCCATACATCGTCCGCAATCGAATCGGTGTCCATTGTGCCAGCAGTCGTTCACGAGAAAAGACAATATGAAAGCACACATCCGACTCAAACACGGACGCCCTCTGGTGCTTTTCGAAATGTTGGGCGAGACGAAGTCTGAAAGCAAAGACTATTATTAGTGTGGAAGTGATTGAGATTTGATTGAATGGAATCGGGAGTTTTGGCTGTGAATGTTAACGAATACGGCAATGGTAAAAGTTACTTTTTGTCAAGTTTGTTTCGTGAATATCAGTATTGTAACGAGTTTGATTAATATAATCGAATAGTATTGATATAAAGGCATTGGAAATACCATTTCCTCAATTCGTCGTGTAGGACATTTTTTATTTTGAAATTTATGTGTCTTTCAATTGTTTTGATTGAAAATTCGTGTATTTAGGACAGTTGAAAAGGTGCTATAGTTTTTCTCCATTTGAGATTTTTCTTCAAATAATACTCCATATTTGTGATTTATTTATGATTCAAGGTTACCTTTTTTAAATATACATATTTTTATTCGTTTACGGTAGTTAATTTTTGTGCGAAAATTAACTATCATTAGTGTAAAATGAAATGATGTATTTAGTAGAATATAATCAAACTGTAACTGTAAACTTTAATTTATATGACTGTAATAAAGAAAACATTTTGCCTATGAATCAATATATTTTTTTTAATTTTAAAATATCAGATTTGCGTAGAAGTCTGTATAACATTTTTAATCTGTTGGTATTATTATTAGTTTTTCTTTTTTCGCTTCAGTTGTGATAGTATATTTGATTTTCTAACACACTTGACGTCATAGTGCCAGTTGGAATTTTTCATTTCAAATACCAATATCCCCAACGTTAATTAAAATTTGAACTATTTTTTCAAGTGATGCAATTATTGAATGGTTTGAAAGAAAAGTGGAATGTGTTGGAATGGGCGAAAGGCTATATATAACACGGTTGAATAAACCTACTTACGCTAAGAGAGAGCATATTCGCAAAAGAGGTGAATATATACTGATATATATTGATTTCGAGTAACTGCTGTAGTTAATTACAATAATATAGCAAATGTTAAATTGCATACATCTTTGATTGATTCGTGTTCCATTATTTTTATTACAAATAGTCGTATTGAAAAAAATGATGCATCTACGAAAATGACAAGCTTCACTCGAAGTTTATGAAGTTTCTTTGCATAGGTAATTATGATTACTCGTCGCTGCTAAACACTACGACGTCACTGAAAGGTCTTTGAACGTTGATATTCGAGAACCGTTTTTATAGGAAGTTGCATTTTTGCCAAGAAATCTTTTTGTTCGGAAACATATTTTTGAGAATGTCATATTATCAAAATTTCAGTGAATATAGTCTTCAATAAGTTCTATCAAAAAGTGATTCACAAAAAATGTAAAATGTTGTTAATAGATCATCATTTCTATGAAATTAAAATATTAGTTGAGTCACAAACCCCCGCTACATAAAGATCAAAATTGCATTTGTTGTTGATTTGAAGAAAGAAGAAATTTACATTAACTGTTAAATAGACATGAATGAATGGTGACCGAAAATCCTAGCGAATCAATGATAAATTGACTTGCATTTTTTTAAATTGTTTCTTACATGTGTAATAATTTTGAAAGAAGGACAAATCAAATTTTATAGACCACAAAATTATTTACTATACGTATAATGAATTCTTAATTTAATGTTGTACTCGTATTTTAGATAATATTTAAACTTTTTTTTTTAAGGTACTAAATACATGTAGTAAATAATGTATAATCAAGCACTGATTAGTTTTTTCCTTGCTCATTATAAGCCATTAATTAACCAGTAATTATAAATCGATAACATTAGGTTGGTAAAACAATCCAAGTTGACATTCCTCAGCTAATGACTGTCATTAACGGGGAGAAATGATTAACTCAAAATGTGGGTTAATAAAAAAGTATATATGCTTATTCATTTCTGCATCTTAAATATTATTGTCAAGTGTCTATTTATATTTTTAATCATAATAGGGAATGCATCCCTTGTATCTAGAAAGGACGGATTAAAATTGTGTGATACTATTTGTAAGGATGTTTGTTCTTTATGGCGAATTCATTATTAACAGTGAAAAAAACTGTAATAATCTTGAAAAAATTGGCATATTACCAAAAAATCGTCTTGTTTATAAATTGTGTTTTACATTATGAAAGAGCTCAGTTCAGTTGTACTAAGTTTACTTTTTGCTTGTAGATTGGGGCTTCGATTGAAAAAATGAAATTGTCAAATCTTTAGCGTAAAGTAGAAAGAAGGCTGCTCATTGCGTGTTTCTGAAAGGGCCGAATGTGTCTAGGATAGTCGCGTGAAGGAAATGCCCGCGCTTTAATTCCACTTTTCAAATTAAGAGTGGAATTAAGGACAAATTCGTAGTCGAGTTTACGTAAGAGATTGTAGAATTAAAAAAGTGTGGAAATTTGTCAATACCAGAAGACTGCTTACTTCATTGATCTGCTTTCGGATAATTATAAAAAAAATACTGATTGATTAAAACAAATCTGAAAGTAATGGTGGCTGGACATTATTGTCATAAATTTATTTAATTAAAATTATGTAATTGATTAATAACTTCCAAAAATTCCATGTAGTTGTTTGATGTAGCGCAGGATACATCACTCCTGTGGTTTCCCATACAGTGTAATCATTATTATGTTATCATAAAATTTAAAAATAATTAGCAGTTAAGACATAACAAATGTTATACTTCTTTAACGTTTTGTTGGCTGCGCACAAATAAATCGGCGAATAACTAGTGAGATTAGTATGTTATAAGTTATGTTACATACATTGTGCAAGTAGTAGCTATGTAGATTTTTTTATACACGGAGAGTTAGAGGCAAAATCACGATTTCTAAAATTCATAATGATAACAGTAACACCACTAGTAGTGTATTTAGTATTGAATCAAAGATTATGGTAAGTGCTTTTCATCTGTATCAAAACTAATTATAATTTCCAAGTTTCATTTGAATTTTTGTTTTAAATCGACAATTTTTATGAAAAGTCAAATGCTAGTTCGAAGATTAGTCTGTATGAAGTTTTGTACTTTGCGAAAATAGTAATAAAACGTTCGTAAAACGAGTGTTTCTGGTTTTCTGCTTGCTGTTATTTTTACTAAGGTTAGGACTACAACAAATTCCCACTACTTTTTCGACAAAAAAATACAGAACTTGTTTTATTTTTGTAGCAAATAAATTTCCCTAAAGATTTGCATAGAAAGTCATTTAATCACACTGGGTGCCAACATTGATGGTGAAGCAGCAGATAGTTTATAGACACAATTATACAGTTTGTCAAAATTTCGCTGGGTGTTAAAGTCGAATGCAGAACGAAAGAGGCTAAAGGCGGGGCTTATGATGCGTGGCGTCTAGACCATAGTGGCGAGATGATTGTAGCATAAGAAGATTACGGAGTTACAAAAAATATTATACTCTATTCAAGTGAAAGAGTCAACAATAAACGCGTGATTAGCACGTGCTCAACTGCCCATTGGTAGACAAATTTGGGAATGGGTTTTACACTGTACCGTATTTCCTTGCCGATGCGTTTCATTCAGAACTCCCTTGTCTAAGAAAATCCCGTTTTTGTATTTTTCTCGTTTATAACATGTTGTGGGTTGCTGTCATTCTGCAGAAAACCGTCCATTTGTTGTGACGTAGTTCAGCACTGGATTTGAAAATCAGATCTTAAAAGTTGTCTACAGTGTAACACGGGCTAGGCGCAGTAATTTTATGCGCACTCCGCTCCAGGATGCATCACGCAGGTTTCACGTGATCACTGACTCTTTCACTTGAACAGAGTATATGTACCTTAAAAAAATTATAGTGAATTTCAAAGATTAAATAAAATTTAAATTTTTTAATCACATTCTTAAAACTATTAATATTATTTATTAAATGTGGCAGAAATAATATGTTCGGGCGAACAATGGACTCGACCTAAATAAATTGACACTATGCGCAGACCACGTGATGGTTTCTTTCGTTTTGCACTAAACTTTATAGGCTGTACAGAGTAATAATACTGTCATCGTCTTTAGATATTCCTTGCTTTAATTTTTATTTAGGCGCCTACATTACGCATATGGTGTTGTCCAACTCGAACACAGCAAAATCTAAATTAAATTAATTCTAATCATTTTCGCCGAACAGCTGTTTGCTACGTCTTACTTAGTACATTTAAGAAACGCCAGAATAGATTAAAGCAGTTTTTGAAGAGCGCACTTATTTATGCCGAGTTGTTCGTATAATAAAACGCACATTTGTTGATTATTTGAATTGGTTAAATGTGTTTGAATGAGTGATCGTGTGAAGTGTGGTTTCTCGTTAAGTAATATGCTTTAGCTAAGTAGTTATTTTTAGTGTTAGTATGACCTTCTTGTAAATAGCATTTAGTTGTAAGAATAAGAACAAATGAAGACGATATATTAGTCTTAAGGAATAGTGTTTTGAACGTGTGGATGTAAAAATCGAATTGGGCAGTGTTTCGCGTGATAATTTTTTGTAGACAGAAATGCAGCCTAAGCTCGTTTTTTCCCCGGCGTTGTATTAAAATAGGTTTTATTGTACATATAAATAACCAGATAATAAATGTGTAAATAAAAACTATCGATGGTGTTTTCATTGGTGCAGGTTCTGAACCTCTGTATTACTTTTAATTATTTAATTAGTTTCTTCACTTTGCATGTATTCAATTTCTGAATTTCCGCAAATAATCTTAAATAACTAAAATGGCTCGGCAGCTTCATTAGATTTTCAGTACTAGACCGTAACACGAGTCGGCGATTGTGCCAAGAACAAGATAAAAAGATGCGATTAAAAAAAAAAAGATTTGAACGGCGCGTTGTTACGTGCCATCTGGTACTGAAAAGCTTCACTTGCTCTGGGGTGCACCATTGTCACTATTCTGCTGTCACAATTAATATTAACACTTACCATTAACGTTGCGTTAAACTACTGTTTTCGTTTGCAGGTTCAAAAACCTGGCACATGCGGCTAACGTTTGACAAGCTGCCAGGTGGCTGCAACCTGCACCGGTGCAAATTGTGTGGGAAAATAGTGACGCACATTCGCAACCACTATCATGTGCACTTCCCGGGCAGGTTTGAGTGTCCCCTGTGTCGAGCCACGTATACACGCAGCGACAATCTGCGCACTCATTGCAAATTCAAACATCCGCGCTACAATCCCGACACCAGGAAGTTCGAAGCACCGTCGATTACCAATGATACAACGGCTGATTGATTTTGGCTCTACTATTACTTGTACTACAGGGCTTTGTGCTCCTCCTAGCTACCAACGTTCTATTCTAGCTAATTGTTGAAGTACCTTATTAAAACAAAAACGAAACAAACGCAGTGGCGAGACTGCTCCCTATGTATGTACTAAAGACTTGCACAGGATAATTTCCTTGGACCATTGTATTTCTAGTGTTAAACAATTTCATTTTGATGGAACATTCAAGCTACGACTGAAATCTCGGCAAGGTATTATTTAATGCAATTACTGTAAAATGGATATTCATGTAGGTAGTCTTTTTAAACATTTTGTACCATTTTCGTGCAAGCATGTTTTAATCTGTCACCTGGTTGAACCCCCACTTCTGCTATAAGCAAAACTGTGAAACAGTTAACTTTATTACAGTGTTTCTAGTCTGTTAGGTCCCGCTAAACGTACTTCCACTCTACCAATTGTTAGACAATTTAAAATGTGTTTGCATTCGAATGACGTCATCCTGCAAAATATTACGACCTAAGATTGTAAAGATATCTGTGATGTTATATATGATGTAATATACAGGGTTCCACCCAAGACTGACCTACTGTACTTACGAATCAAAAAATTTCTGCCCCATTACTGTGAATGTTATTCCTACTACGTTACGGTAGATTGGTTTTGTATGGAACATGGGTTGAAAAAAATTTACATAATTTTAGAAACTTTGTGCAATTTTTAAAGCTTTCATTTATCATCTTTAAAAAAGGTATAAGTTAAAGTACGTTCGTATAATATAATCTGCCCGGTATTTCGTGACGCCCCCTGTATATGTATAACTTAATTTAAAACAAAAAAGAGACTCACATATTATTAGTTAAAAACTCATGTATAATAGCTTAAAGCCCGTCCGTTAATAATGGGTTTGCATTAGAATTTCAATGTAGAGCGGTTACAAGTCAGATCTTTTTGTATTAAACTTTATTTATCTTATTTAAATATTGCCAAACTAACTAGTGTATAATTTAAGTGCAATTTAATTAAATAACTTTGATATTACCTCATATTCTCAACTCGTTTTTAACACTAAGATTTATTGTAGAGAATCTCTTTTAAAATTTTGTACCTACATTAAGGTATCGGCGGCCTTTGAATAGTTAATTATGTAAGTTTAAAGAACTAAATTTTAGGATTATTTGTCTGCGGAACAAATTGTGAAGCTTTTGGTTTAATGATCTGTCAGCTAAAAAAAACAACCATCTGTCCGTAATTTTTACAGGAATGGATCATTGTATTCAATTCATTGAATTGCGTGATATGGTACCTTAGTTTATATAAGTTGGTTCAATTTGGTGTTACAGGTGTGGTGTTTAATAAGGGTATTTGTTTTTTTTTAAGAAGATTTGCTTATAATATATTCACAAATGTTTATTTTATGATATAAACCTAGTGCATTAACTTAGGTAAGAGCATGTTTTTTTATCTTAAAAAAGCGATACATTTGTTGTTAGTTTTTATAATAATATACTATATACTAAAGATTTCTATAATATATTGGCATTAAGATATAAAGAAAAGTTGGGTGAGCAACTAGAATGATTGTGATAATATAGGTTTGGTGCTAACAACCTTCTACTATTTGAAATAAAATATGAAATGTGCAATATTTAGTTGTAACTGTTTTGTTGTTGTACTATCCTTGGATTTAGAAAAATGAAGTGAGGATCATGTACAGTTTGTAAAAGGCGTTGTATATTGAGATTTCATAAAAGATAATTTTGTTATTGTTGATTTTAGAATTACGATTCTTGCAACGAGTTATTTTTTATATAATTACAAAACAATTTAATAAGGTTGCGGTTAACTAGGAGAAAATATATTTACGTGTAAGTTTCTTTTGTAAAAACTCATCGACAAGAACCATACGTTTTTGTAAAAATCGGCTTAAATCATATTACTCAAAAAAAAACAGAAGTTTGCATTTTATTTTGTAAAATTTCATTGTCTAATATGCTCAATGATCAAATATTAAAATATCTTGCTTAATATCATTTTTCACCACCATTCAATGTTACTTAAAATCATTAGTATTTAAGTGATGTAAAACATTATTTAAGATTGATATGCATTCATTAAGGCATTTATTATGTATTTTATTAATTTTTATTAAAAATGGTGTGTTTTACTTGACGATATTATTTATTTCCCGTTCCATCGTTTTACGTATAGTGAAACTGTCAAAGTGTGCGATAACTTGCTAACTAATGTTTTTGATAAGTATCTAGTGTCATGCTTTTGTAACGTTGTAATGGCACTACTATAGACACTTTAGTGTCATAGAGCATGCTAGAAGTAGCTCATCATTTACGATGGAAACCCAGTATATTAAACCGGTAATACTAACACTTTAAAATTTTGTGCATTTATTAACCAACTTGTTTTTTGTTACAGATATAAAATGCTACAAGGTGTCGCAATTATTTGAAAGAGTCGGATCGATGGATGAACGAAGGAGATGTGTACTATGTGGAAAAATTGTGAGCAATACACGTAATCATTATTATGTACACTTCCCAGGACAGTATTCTTGTGCGCATTGTCCAGCAGTGTACACACGTAGTGATACTTTATTACTGCATATGAGGACAAAACATCCGACGGTTGCTTAGCTGATATTTGGTGATTAGAATGGTTTGATCGGACATAGTCAAGTGAGTCTTCATATTCATTTTGGTTGATACCAAACTGTGCAGACGGTTTAATTCTAGCGAGCCAAAAGTTAGATTAGTTAATACTCATAGTGGAACAATCGAAATCAATCGAGTATTTTTAAGCGATGCTCATGCATATTATAATGAAAATCAACTCAAGTTAGTACAGTCAGGAGAAAACTTTCTAGTCTTAATTTTTTAAAACGAAAACGTGATATAAGTATGCCAAACAAGAAGCAGTACACTCACTGTGTGAACCCCAGTAGCAATACTTGGTCCTGCTTATTAATGTAAATTTCTTTTTAAAGTTTAAAGAAATTTCTCTAAAGCGATCGTTTAGAAAGGATACTAGTCAAAACTAGACGTAACTTTTGCCAAAAATATGTCCAAATATTTTTAAAGAGTAGTGCAATTTCCATTATAATATCTAAAGAGCCATTAAAAGTACAATTTATTATTTAGAAGTAATGATTGAGTTAATTATTTAGTAAGAGTAATATATATTTCAACCTTTGTTGTGCCTTTAAGGTCACCATTAAATGATTTTTTGTTATCACTTTCAGTGCTGGTATTAACCAAAGACTTGTAGATGCATAGTAGTTAATTTATTCTATAGGTACAAAACTTCCATTGAAAATTTTATTTGTATCGGAAGTGCACAAGTGCGTTGGCGGTATCAAAATCTGGCTTCCAAATTGAACCGAAAGCCGTTAAGCCATTAATACTTTTTTTACTGCCGCATTCACCACATTTATTACCAATCGAGATTTCGTTGGAATGTCTTCCACTGTCTTCTTGTAGGTTATATACGTATTTTTAGTCGTTAACGCAACTTGGGGTGCTACATAGTCTTCCTACGTCACCTATTTTATTAATTTTTTTTATTGCAACGACAATTTCTTCGATACTCGACACACTTGTGCACCAGAGAAAGTATGAGTAAGAAAAAACGAACGGCGTAAGCTCTAAATTGATGAGCAAGTCTACCTGTAAATAAATGTTCTCAATTTTTCATACTTCAAACGTTATAAGTACAGCTAGGCATAATACTGTATAATAAAATTGTAAATTGTACAATTCATTATCCATGGTCTTGTCACTGTATAAATTAAAACAATTTGAAAATAATAAGTAATTTTGTGACTGAAATATAATTTTATATTAATATTACAAAAACGCAGCGGTTGTCAGCTTGACGTTTTTAAAGATTTATATTTTTAAGTAAATGGATGTATATATTATAGTAAAATTACAAAAAATCAGTTCGGAGGTTCAGTAGATATTTCGAAATCTTATTGTTTTCAAATTTTTTCAGAGTACCATAGTAATAATTGTCACTAGTCATAAGATAGCCAAAGCCAAATTGCCAAAATGTTAACTTAGCTTTTAATTTTGCTAGTCATAATTTAGTTTAGTAACATGTTTATTTTCAATAAACAATAAATCGTCAGCTATAGAGTGTAGATTTAAATTTTAAGTGAGTGTAAAAATTTCTATCTGGAACGGGCAATGTAAATTGTAGAATCGTGTTCAAGTGAACTTTGAGTTTTTCTTCGTTTGATTTTAGAAGAAGGGTGATGTTTGCTGCCATATTACGTTTAAAGAGCATTACTTTATCTGTTGGTTCCTCTGACGACTGCAGAAAACGTATTTTATGCTGTACATATTTTATCATTTTTCTTGAACATTCGTATGTAAATCGTTCGAGTTTTAGTCGTCAGCCGTAGAACCTACGATCAAAATAGCAAATCTGAATAATTTATTATTGTATAAAGTTAATATTTTATAAGCTGAATAAATTTATAAATATGATATTTGTAATTTGTCCATTTGTCGAGTCTAAATTTTCACATTACTCTTTTATATTCTCTGAATATAAATATGACACAATCGAGAACTTGTTGCTCAGGATGTTGTAATATGAAAGACTTATAACTTTCCGTTTTAGAATCACCGCTACAAATAATGTCTTGTATATTTTCAAAGACTGACAGTCACAGACTTACTATGAAAAGTAAAACACAACGAACTGAAAATACAAAGATTTTGAAACGGAGGGTACTGCATAAAGACGTGTATATAAACAATATAAATCTGCAGGTTCTCGTGGGTTTGCAAGTACTGTAAATACTAGTTTTGAAACAAGAAGACGCCAAATATTTTCAGTTGACATTAACCAAAGCATCCACCACTTTTATTTCACTGTCAAAATTATAGATAATCAGGGTATATATTCCATTGTTTGGTTTTTATATATAATTCTTGTATCTATTAATTGTTTCATTAAATTGTATATAAAATACAAATTTGTGTTTTACTTCTTTTTCTCAATCTTGTCAATTAATGTTATTACGCGTTTTTGCACGTTTTATTAACGAAAACCTGTTTCAGCAGAACAGAATGGAGGTCCCAGTCTCTCATACAATGAAATGTTTGAACCATCAGTTTCCAATCTTCTGTTATGGAAATGCAAGGCTTGTAGCAAGGAAGTGACAAACAGATGGCATCATTTTCACTCACACACCGCTCAAAGATCCTTTTGTCCTTATTGTCCTGCTACATACAGTCGTATCGACACTTTAAGGAGCCACATGAGAACCAAACACAGTTTTCTCATGAAATGTAACAATATGTAAAGCCCCTCTGTACCTAGACCAATGCAACAAATACGATATCATTTACTGTATTCATAACTTAAATAACAATTTGATATTGCTGTGATGTAGAACATACTGTACTTAATAATGTTTCATGCTGATGTATTACTAAGCGTTATGGAGTATGCTTTAAAATGACATGTGATCAAATGTGATTTATATTTTTTGTTTAGAGAAATTATTTAATATTATTTATATATTACAATACAATTACAGAATGATAAAGGTGTTTTTTTTACGTATAACCAGTCTGTACACAATAGAAACGATGGGAGTGCGAAAAAAAGTTAACACAATTTATTTGTTAATAATGAACTTAAAATAGTTTGTATGTGGCAATTACGTTGAATACCTAAAACTAATGCAAAAATTAATATTTCAATATAGTTCAAATTAAATTGTATATCATTTACTGTCTATATTTTTTATAACACTTTCATTACTTTTTTCATAAAAAAATATAAATTATTCTCTTTTCATCATATGGGGAGAAGGATTCAAATTTAAGTATCACTTTTCCAGAGTTTTATGGTTTTGTCATGCTCAAGAGCAGCTGACGCGATAATATTTTCGGTGGGATGACATGTTGTACAGAGAACCACATCTAGAAAAAAAAAAAAACATTAATAACGAATTAAAGATAAAGTGGAAGTTTACCAGTGTGTCCTTGTAACTTTTGTACTATTTCTTTTGTTTGTAAGTTCCAAATATACACCAAGTTGTCTTCGGAACCACTAACAATCCACTTGCCACCAGTTACAGAGAAATTGGCAAAGATACAATACTTTTCATTTTTGTGGCCTGAATATGTTTTCAAGCATTTGCCTTTTGCATAATCCCACAGTTTTAACGTATTGTCTAGAGTAGCAGCAAGGATGTACTTTCCATTGGGTGAAAATTTTACAAAAGAAACTGGGGGATTATCGTCATCAATGAGCGTTTTTAAACACTGGCCTGACGCTGTATCCCAAATACGACTGAAATTCGTAACTGTTAGAAATTTTCATTCATAATAGCACAGTTTCATACCATAGACCGTCATAACTACTACTAACAATAAGTGACCCGTCCCTGTTAAAATGTACTGCACTGACAGGGTCAGAGTGAGCAGGTAGAGTCTTCAAACATTTTCCTGTTCTGACATCCCATATCCTCACTGATTCATCAAAAGAACCAGAAACGATTAAATTTGACTGAGGATTAAAATTGCAGCAAAATACATAATTGCTGTGTCCTTTTAATGTTTTCAAACATTTTCCTGATGATAGTTCCCATATTTTTAAAGTTTTGTCATCACTAGCTGATACTAGAAGCCTACTATCACTTGACCATGCTACATCACTGATTCCTAACTTATGGCCAGATATTGTTTTTTCAAACTTGCCATCATAGGCACCCCATATTTTAATCAACTTGTCTGCAGCTAAAAACAGAAACATTATTATATAAAACACGTTTTTTTACAACAGGCATGCATACAAGAACTAGCCAGCCATTCTCCGTTAGGACTAAACTTCACTGAAGAAACAGCCTTTGTATGTCCTGCTAAAGTAAATTTGAGAGTGTAATTTGGTTTCTGGAAAAATATTATCAGTTTTAAGCATTTTATGATATAACATTCCTACTAAATTGCTGCTGCTTTTATTTGAACCTCCTGTTGGAGTCAGAGAAGTATTGGTTGCCGGAGCTGACGGCTGGACATTACTTGACGAATGTACAGGGGCTGTGCCCCCCAAAGGCATCATCTTGTATTCAATCTGTTTCAACAGAGCGCTGACGATAAAAAATAACAGCAATACAAAAAGGAAATGAACCATGTGAATATTAATATGCAACATTTACTTACCGGGAAAAACCCTATTTCGTCATAAAGAAAAGACTTCTTTTACTTTATTTACAAAGTCCAAATACAACAGTTTTGTCTAATTCTACAATTCCATCCGAATTATTATCAACTAGTAGCAGTTTAAACGCACTTTTCGCTAGTATTCGTTCTCCATTATGCCGCCATCAACACATGCGACATGTCATTACCAGTGTTGCCAACTTACACTCGAAATCGCAAAAACACCAGGAATTTAAACAGCGGTGGCAAATTAATGAATTCAGGTTAGTTTTCATTTATTATTTATTTACAACTTTCACCTTTCCGTATACATCTAATAATCCACCCTTTGTCTTCTTTCGCTTGCGATCAAACCCTTTCTTCTTGGCCGTGGACTTCCCTAACAAATTTTTACCCAACTGTTGAAATTGTGATTTCTGTTTTTCTTCGTCTTTTTGTTTAGCACGGTCTTCTTTCAAAAGTCGATAATTCTTGTATTTATTTTTAGGTGGTTTAGCCCCTTGAAAAATTTATAATTAAAAAATAAGTACATAACAAAGGCAACCTTACCTAATTTAATAGCTAACTGAATCTTAGCTTCTTCCTTTTTCTGTGGATCAAAACCTCCCATTCCAAATTTAACTACTTCATGTCTCGCTTTTTTAATATTGAATTCGCTGACTTTCGTTTGCTTAGACGTCTCTATCTGTGCTTTTGCTTCATGGTGTTTTTTTGCTTTGTAAGATTCGTATGTAACGGACTGAAAATTTGTTATACTTCCTGGTTTTTTGCTGGAACCTCTTGTAGGAATAAAATCTTCAGTCATTATGTTATAAATACAGACGATTAGATAAACTTAACAAAAATTTACAGAAACACTAACAATGAGGTTAGAAAACAAAATGACACGTGCTGCATGCTGTTACCAGCTGTTACTGTTGTGGTGCTGCCACAGGCGTGCTGCAGTGTCCCACAGTATAGTGGTCCAAGTCTCATTTCGTTTTTAATCTCGATTATCACAAGTATTGGGGACTCTATTGAAAATGTAAATAGCCGTGCCATAAATCATCTTAACGTGTACGCCCTTGTGTATATAGTATATAATGTCGACAATCGGTCTCTTGATGGTTTATGACCAATGGAATCACTGGATTACTTGTGGCAGAGGCTTGTGGAACACTAGGTATACTATCCTCAAACATATTTGGCGTTTATGACTTCACACCAATTTGACTCCCATTATAATTCAATAGGCCGTCACAACCGGATGTCTTAAACCCGCTCACCGATACCTACCTGAAAAGACCTTTTCGACGTGCCAGGGACGGTCGAGACGCGAAGGACCGGACTCAGAGTAATTTTGTTTGTTAAAATTTTCAAATTTCAAAATTTCCTTACAGAACATGTTTTATACTTTGAAGAAAATTACACAAAGACACAATTATTAGAAGTGTTACACACTCGAAAATTTGAGAAACAATATAAAATAGATGCTATGGCGCGAGATCGTGGATTTAGGGTGATTAGACTTCCGCCATACCATTGTATATTTAACCCCATCGAACTAATCTGGTCGCAAATGAAAAATAATATAAGAAGGAATGATACGGCACCAAAATTTAGTAGTGCAACAATTGACATAATTACGGTAGAAGCTTCCAAAATAACTGCCGAAATGTGGGCCAATTGTGTACGACATTCCACAAAAGAAGAAGACCAGTGCAGGGCACGGTTGATAACACCGTTAATTATTAATTTAGAAGAGTCGAGTGATGATGACAGTGACTATTTCGATCAATAAATAAGCAGTAGTAGTTAATAAGTAAATAGTTGTGCTCTAATAAAAAATGATTGAGTACAAAGTTACTTTGTTTTTACTTAAAATAAAAAACTCGAAAGGCGCAGTTGTCGGTAAATGCAAAACTCAGTCCTGCCCTGTGCTTTTACTAGAAAAGGTCTTTTCAGGTAGGTATCGGTGAGCGGGTTTAAGACATCCGGTTGTGACGGCCTATTGAATTATAATGGGAGTCAAATTGGTGTGAAGTCATAAACGCCAAATATGTTTGAGGATAGTATAACTCCTTCACAATAGGATGCAGGATGTAGCCGTAAAAAAGAACCAGCAGTTGGAACATTATAGATTATTTTATGTGTTCCGTAACAGAACATTCATCTTACGACAACGGCATTACTACGGCTACTTGCACCAGCTTTCACAAAGCTCAAATAATGGTATTTCAGTAACATTTATCATCATGATTTTCCATAACATTAATACACTGTACCAGAGATATGTAACATTTATTACATAATTTACATATCTTTGTGTGGTACACATTTTAATATAAATCTTGGCCAAGATTTTTCTGTCATTTTGAAAATTTTTGTGTAACGGGCCAATTCACAGGGCCATTTTCAAGTTATTGTGGTGCCCCAATTAAAAATTATTAAATTTCGAGATTAGACAAAAAAAAAAACTCGCGAAACCGCATTTGATAAGTATAAGAAAGAAAAAAAATAATTCAATAATGTAGGCAACCATGCCTGCTTAGCGGAATGCCACCCCTATAGAGTTTTGTAAGACAGTACAGACAGTTTTTAAAAAGGGTCTCTTGACCTGACTTTTTGTGGTGCAGTGCTAGTGTTAAAAATTGGTAAGTAGAATTGTGTTTGTAATTTCACCAATTGTTTAAACTAAATGAAATCGCATTCCGCACCCCCTTCAAAGAGTGTAATTTAATTAGTATAAGATCAGTTTATTAATGAGTTTCCAATATGAAATGTTATTACATTATTCATGCTTCATAACTTATATAACTTCTCATTCGAGAATCGAGATCTAAAATATCGGCACGAAAAACGGGCCACCCGTATTTTTTTTTTCAAAGATCCGAAAATGTGCGGAACAAAGTACGATTTCGGCTGCAATACTTTCATGTTGTTATGCAACGTTTATTGTATTTTTTTATCTAAAAAGAACTAAAAAATTAATGTTTCAATACAAAATGATAAAAATGCAATAATCAAAGTTGAAAAAAAAATTAAAGTTTCAAGGAAAAAGCAAAACCAATGACCATTGATACTCTTTAAGGACGTCAATAACGGGTACTTCCCCCACGAACCTGTAAGACTGCTGTCTTTCTCCAGGGCATCTCACGAAATAAATGATCTGTTTATTCTTGTTGGATATTCTCTCATTTTTTTAAAAGCACATTCTGAAGCTCATCTAAAGTGTGGGGTGCAGGTACACTCAATTAATATGTTGGTCAATAAGCGTAGTAAAAACGTTGAAGCACTGTACTCAGAAAAATATTAGCTGGCCCGTTTTTCATGCCGGTGAGTGAATTCATTTATGACAGTTAAGCACATCTTAAAGTTAATCCATTTTTGAGAGTACGACCTTGAAAATTATCATCAGTTAAATTAATCTTATCGTGAACTCGATATGGGAGGAGTATTTTACAATTATTTTGCCTTATATTAATTAGTGTGTTGTTTCCTTACATACAGATTATTTCCTTACAGCCTGAATTTGGCCATTTATTCTGGAATTATTACTTTGATTCTGGACATATTTAATTCATGCCTGTTGCATTTATTCCACATGTGCTTTCGTTTATGTGTAATGTGGGGGACGGTCAACGATGTAATTAATTTTGATACGCTCATGTTAATTTCATCGGTAACTTGAATTAAGGTACAATTTAAGATCAGGCAAATTATTTGTCGCATAAAATTGTTGACAGATCATGGCGTAATTAAATCTTGTTTGTTCCCTTCCTTGTAATGTTAGTACGCACTGTACTATCGTTAAAATTCAGGAGATTTTAACTTTAACGGAAATAAACGCACGACATCGCGTGCCGAAAGTAGAGTGATGGGTGCGCTCCCAAATGTGGAGTGTTTTTCTCTCACTGTCACTGTTCACGTGAATGTTTATCCGCTACAGCTTATTTTCGCTCCCCGAATCAGGTCGTTTAGTTGGCAGTCTCGTTTGCGAAGATGGAATTACTTACGCCTCAGGATGTATATTTAATTATTCTTATACTTATCAAATTTGTAAATTTTAATTTATTATTATAGAAATAACATATTGTTTCAATTAAAGTTGCTACTTACAGAAGAATGGAGTTTATCCTACATGAGGATATAATCGGATGGTTTAAGGTGATTTTTCATATGATACTTGACATTTGTGAAATTTGATTTGTTGACTTTTACAGGCATTTGAGCTAGCGGGAAGTTTTTTTTTTGAAATTTAAACGTAACTAATGTTCCTCTCATTTTATTTCTTACTGTTTTTGATAGTGGACTATAGTATATACTTAACGCAAAAATTCAAAACTGAAAACTGCTATTTTATTACAATATATTTATTTCATATTGCACAACATTATATGCTTTACATTTGGCAACAATGTTACTCTTCTAAATTTTATACAAAACCTATTATCAAATAATAAAAACAACAATCTTTTTTGCATAAAAACTCGATGTTCGCCAAGATTCGTCTGAGAGTATTTGTAGATATGTTAATATGTAAAGAAAATTTATACGCTATTACAGGTACACATTTCATCAATAACATTGAAAAAATTAATATCGCAATTTGGTTTAATAATACTCTCTTTTGGTTATCGAATCTTTTAATAATGAAAATGAGATGTCAAATAAAAATTTTCAATAAAGAAAAATAAAGTCATAGTAAAATACATTAACAATGTTTAGGTAAGGAATGATAGGACCATATTTTTACCTTAAACATGTCAATCTACATTTTAAAATTTCACATTTGATTATCATGGTTACAGGAACTTCTATAATATAAAAATAATTTTATAAAAAAGTCAGACTTTTTTTATAAATGTATACATCATACAAAATGCAGAGCTCGTCTAATTCAAATAAAATTAGCGAAAATAAAGGTGTTCAAATAACACTGCTGTTAGCGTCAATTCTAGTTTACAATAATATAGTTCACATAACATAGTACACATTTAGTCATCTACTAGATTACGTTTCACTCTAAACTTTATTATTGCTTTACACTAATTTTATTTGAACCTATTTATTAAACAAATATGGATATTCACGTTGCACCCCATGAAATATCCGATGGTTAGGAATGATCCGTGCAATATTTTGTCTATTTCACATTTACAATTTTCTAGTTCCATCTAGACATTTTTAAGTTACATTAAGCACATTATAACAGAATAAACTTGTATAGATGAAACCAACTGATTTGCCTGTAACCATGATCAGCTACAAACTACAAATATATAAATTTGATTTGAGCTTCCTCTATTTATTCCAACATTGTTGATGTTGGTGCCACTTCAAATATCATTTGCAAGAAGACAGTCACTCCGTCTGAAACAGAAATGAAATGATTTTGTCGTAGCGAACTCACTTCCAACTTACCCATAAATGGTATGCGCATTTTGTAATGTACAAACGGAACGTAAAAAATCATCCCACCCAAAATGAACAGAGCTGCATACAGGTACTCAATGGTAGGTTTGTCTATTATGGGACCTATTATCAGGTAGAACGAGATCACTAAGACCAAATAAGGAATGATGATTGGCACCTGCACATTAAAAAAAATAGTGATTGTTGAAGAAAATAGGCAACTGGTACCTTGTAGGGCCTTGGGTAGTTCGGTTTAGTGTATCGCATCACGATCAGAGCCACCATCGCACCCCCATAAAATATCCATGCCGTGAAACTAAAGAAATCTATGAGTGAGTCGATAGTACCGTAAAGTACCATAGCAGCCGCTATCAAAGACTGGAAGCAGTAGTTGTAGTCAGAAGTCAATTTGAACAATTTTACTCACGTGGAAAATTAGACCCGGAGCTGGTGTATATCTACGAATGTGGACGTACGACAGAATATCCAGTAGATGTCCTTCACGACTTGCAGCGAAACATAGCCGACCCGCGGCGAAAAGCGTACCATTAGCCGAGCCAAAAGTAGAAATAGTGACGGACAGAGGCATCAACCAAGCCATCACACCCAACAGTCTGTTCCCAAAGGTTACAGCAACTGCTTCACTTGTAATCATTTCCATCGGTGACATTACTGTTAAGTACGACACATTGATCAAGGCGTAACAGATTGTTACCAATGGAATTCCAATGATTATACTTCTTGGCAAGTTGCTGTAAATCGGTATTGTTAGACAGTTTTGAGTTAAATTTGGCTGAATAGTACCGTGAAGGATTCTTTATTTCTTCTGTTACGTAGTTTAGGTTGTTCCAGCCATCGTACGCCCATAGGCCCGTATAAAAGGCCGTTGCAATGTTCCCCACGGAGTACTGAGTGCCCCTGAAAGGCTCCCGTAGGTGCTGAGTATTACCTTCGAGCAAAAAAAGCCTTCTTACAATTGTATTCTAAAAGTGTAGTTCGCTGTGTAAGTTTGATCCAGAATTTTGAGAAAATTCAAAATTCCAGGAAATTATTTTCAACTAAAATAAAAATGGTTTTTCGGGTACTTCTTTTTATCTACGATACCTTCAAACATCTTGTAAGTCCCTCCTGCTATTACAATAAGTACTGCGACGAGCTTGGCTGCGGTGAAGACGTTTTGAACACTGGTGGCCAGATTGACGCTGTAGCAGTTCACGTATAAAATCACGACTAAAAAAATATGTATAGTTGACATTATAAACTTGTATAAGAAGTATGGATTTACCAACAGCCAGTAGAGCAACCATTTTCACGACAATTTCAGGAGGTTCGCATTCAGTCACGAAAGCTTCGACGGCATATTTTCCGAAACTTAGACAGATGATCGCCATTTGTGACGGTTTCAAAACTAGTGTGCTAGCCCAAGAGAATAAGAATGCAGGTGGTGCGCCGAAAGCGTCCATAAAATAGGCATATTCCGCCCCAGACGACGTGTTCATGGTGCCCAATTCGGCATAGGAAAGGGCGCCTGAAAAAAAATCGTCAGCTAAAATTTAGTCGAGTTTAATGATCACAAAATACAAATAACGGTCATTGCCTATTTCAATCAATTAATTACTATTTAAGAAGCAACATAAATGAAACGTTGACTTGTGGACTCATAATTAAGTCAATAAAAAAGAGAAGTCATATTTTCAGCTACAAATTTGTTAATATATTATACATCTAAAAACGTTTTCGGTTCGTAACGTAAAGAAATAAGCTTTAGGTTTTGCTGAAAAATACAGCAATTTCGTTAATTTTACAGGAGAGTAATTATTTTGAGGATGTTCATAATTATCTATATTTTACTTTTGCGCATACATCTTCACAGCATGCATCAGGGTACATTTTTCTAAGACGTCAATAACAAAAAGATATTTTATTGAATACAAATTTATTTTTAATAAGAGCAGACGTGGAATGACAAACATTTTATGAGAAATTGTACAGATTCGCGTACGGAATTCTTCATAAAATCGATACGTTTTTTATTAAAAACGTACTGACAACACTGACGCTAATTCTCTCATATAAAATGCATTGGTTGTGGGTTTTTATGCCGCCAACTCGAAGTGAAACGCCCGACAATTATTCGTCGAACGAAAGCTGTTATGTTTCCCTTAGCTATCGTTTGGAAAATAGAAATTATTTTGTTTGTGTAGCTTTTAGTTATATTATGTATAGTACTTAGTTTTTATTTTTGTTGCAAAACATTTACTGTTTAATACTTAAAAAAAAATGCGTGCTGATATAGTGTTGCATAAGATTGATATAATATTAAAGCTGTCGTTACACTGAAATGGGCAAGAAATAGCGTCGGTCTACTCTATATATAATTTGATCAGTGATAAAATAAGCTTGTAGTGAATACATTAACAATTGATGGCTCTTTTATTTTTCATTGTCATTCATGATGTAGTTTGATTTTGCCTTTTTACATATCATTTGACATACAATTTAAAATACGTAGTTGTTTTTTTCCCTAACCACTGCAAACAGTTACGGCTAGTGTTATTTTTATCTATTTCAGTGTAACAAGAACCTTAAATTAAACATGGAAAATACATTAATGAGTCTTTAGTTACTGGAAATTTTACTTTACCCTTATTAGATTTTTATTAAATATGTATTCATTAATATTTTAAACAATAGCATATGTAATAACAACAATGACAATAATCACAAAGATAGATAACAATACTTTTACTTTTTATTCTTTTTAACCACCAGTGTACAAACCATTTCGTTTTCAATTTAACGCTAAAACGAATGTCAATTTTGTAATAATTTGGTCAAAGAACTGAACCATTAACTATACTAGTCAATCTTATAATTGTGAAAAATAATAACTTTATATAGTCAGTGGCTCACTGACAATGGTTCTGCAACTGCAAAATCTTTGGACAGGTCTAATTAATGAAAAGTGAAGGTTATAATTTGTTTTATAGCCATTTTCGGTTTTATTTTATTATGTCATCAACACTAGATTGTTCTTTTAGTATTAATCTAACGGTTTCTCTTTTCACTTCCAGAACGTGGCTAGCCAGAATCGCAACAGAACCATTTTCATGTTTTTTTAATGTCTCAGAAGTTGTAGAATATAAAACTTTCTCGTTCCGTTCTATTCACTTATGCCGTGGTTTGTTGTTGCGCATAAATTACTATAAATTATAAAATCTCAGAATTGTACACAAACGTAAGAATTAAACAGGGTGCTCCAAAAATAGGGCACTATTTCAATGGTAAATTATTTATTAAGTTCACTAGCTTAGGTTCGGGAAAAATCATTAAAAAATTTCTTACATGAATTTGACGTTGACTTGCAAAAACAAAATATCCATTTAAATATTTAGATAGATCAAAACGGTCAAAAATTAGCCACTACTGTCGATTCATTCTGAACAATTTTTAAGTTTTTTGTAATATTGTAAAATGAAAAAACGAACGATAAAGACAACATACCTCAAAAAAAACATGGTTAACTATCAAAAATAAAAATTAAACTTTGAAGAGCCATATTTTTAAGATTTGGACCTAGTTATTTTTAAATTATTTTTTCTCTGCTCAATAAATAGATCGTGTCATAGAGTAAGTGCGCCAATTTTTGAGCACCTGTATAGTGGACAGAACACATCGAAATTTATATGGAAACTGTTAATAACTTATTCAATTACTGATTGAATATTAACTTCATGTTTGTATTTATTTACAGATGAAATTTAATTATTTACTTTGCAGAAAATTCATTTACATTTAACCTTATTGGCGGAAAAAAATAATATTTTTATATTTGTTACTGTAAACACGTATTAACTAGATAGTATAATTTTTTATACATCAATCAGTACAACTTTTAGGTTTTGTTAATGTTTCGCAACTTGTTATGGGCATTTTTAATTTTAGAAGGACATTTTTTTTAAAAACTTCTGAAAGAAGCACAAAGTATTCGGACATTTTAATTTATTTGCTAATTTTCCCTGAGAATTATAAAAAATCAAGAATATTATGCGTATAAAAAAACATTTAAAAGGCGTCTACCTGTAGCACATTATATTAGTAATACCCCGGCGCATCCACCAAATAAAAATCAATATATAAATTATATTCGCCAAGCATTGAAGATTTTGTTAAACATATAGACGTATTACACGGTACATTTATTTTTAACATTGTACATAAAAAATGTCTTTGTTTTTACATCTTTACAGCAATAAACTATTTATTACTGCAAACAGTTCTCCAAGGCAGTATTATTTTTCTCTACTGAAAACCACTTGTCGGTTGCGCTTTTTCAGAATCAAGTTTTTTCACGCCGTTTTTCAAAATTTCTAGATTTTATACGATTAGTATATTTTATTTAGGTTTTCCATTAATGAGGGGTTATTAATTTCCATCAAAACACATTTCACTCAACAGATGTTTGACGTTCACTTGAAAACTTTCAACATAAAAAAGTTACAAAAGTATTTAAGTGGTATGTAAGCGGAGAACTTTCAAGTATACTTTGAAGTGATAGATTTATTCAGTATTGGTAATGATCTTAAAACTGCGTAGGTGTGTCATGTGTTATATTGACGTCAGACTATCGTCATTTGTATAAATCTCAAGAAATATACTAATCCCGTGATCTTTAAATATAATTTCCGTCCACAAAACAAAACGTTATACGGTTTGCGCGAAATCCCTTTTTGTTTGTTATGGTTTCTATCATTGTGTATGAAACATTAAAAACAAACGCTACTTACCTAGCAGTGATAGCAACCCACACGCCATCCATATCACAAAGCTCATCCCGATTGATCCGGTTCTCTCCAACAGACCCGACGGGGAAACGAAAATTCCGGAACCTGAAATAACAAGAATTGCCAATTTTTTGCACACATTGTTTGGAAAACACTTTTTAATGTTATGGTTCTCTGGAAAAATTAGTATTAATCCCACATTGAAAAATTTAAACGGAGCTTAGGGATAAAAATCTATTGTTTTATAGCAATATGGTATTTTTTGTTTAGTTAAATGGTGAGAAATCACGAGCTTTTGAGCATTTGCAACTTAAACAGTAATCTACTTTTATAACGATACATAACATTTGAAAGGTATCATAAACTTTACATTGGGTGAACACATAAATATTCTTTTATATTTTCAAGGGATTATGTTAAAATTTCTTGTATAAAACTTTTACCAGATGAAAAGCTATTTTAAAATATAGTAATGAAAAACAGAATTACATTTCGAATTTAGTGACGACGTATTTTAACTGGTTTCTGACATTTATATTCGACCTTTTCTCAAACATTTTTCTACAGTTTATGTGCATGTTTCTAGGATTATTAATGTCATTATTATAAGGATGACTTTCGTTTGAACGTCGGACAAACGTAAAAATAACAACATAAAAACCAATAGTCTTAAAAAAATATTCCTTGCTGCTTACATTAGGAAAATAATTCTTACTAAATTTCTATTGGTAAAAATGAATAGCTCGAACAGTAAATCTGAATTTTACGTAGTATTGCGGCATTTGTTTTTTGACGTCTACATAATTATTAACATCTTAAATCTGTTTCCTGTCAAGTAACTCTTGAAAAGCCAAAATCTGGATTCACTAGGTTTATGATACCGAAATTTGATAAAAAAAAAACTCTCTGGAGCCAGAGTTTGAACATTTCCTCGGCATCTTCGTAACCGCGAAGCCTCGGAAAATCAGGCAATATACTACAAACATATATAAATCTCCCTTCCCAAGTTTTAGACCAACCACGTCAAAGTATTAACCGTATTAACCGTTGAATGTCTAAACTTGCGGTCTCATTTTCTTAATTGTGTGTAGTTTGGGTTTACCTAGAATGCCTCGGAAGCCTAAAATAACCACAACTTATTGAGATTTAGCGAGAAAACTAATAGATACGATAATTCTAAACTAAAGCTCTTAGAAAGTTGGAATTGCAAAACGGTTATTTTCCGGAATTTGAGGTGAGGTTGTCCCACTGTAAATGGGTAAAAAAATCACAACATAAAATTTAATCGATGACAGCTGACAACGGGGAAAAGTCTTATACACAACAGTTTGGATTCAAAAAACACATACGTTTTTCGTTACGTTTTCTTCCTTGATTTTCTTCTATTAAAAAAGCAACGCCAACTTGATGACTTTTTCAGTTGAACACCCTTTATATGTTTCATGGAAAAGTAAACGGGTTTTCATCTACAAATTGACTGTTGCCGGGGCGCTCTCCTGTGCTAAATATACGAGCGCTGGAAGCATCAGAAAACGTGCGGGAAAGAGCTCAAAATTACATTTTCTGCAACGCTGACTACCTACGCTAATGTTGAAGCCATTAGAACTTCGAAGTTTACCAAATTTATTTATTCTTTGATTCACAAGTTTGCAACACATTTTCTACGAAATAAGTTTCTCGTATTATGAGAAATTAAAAAAAAGTAAATACTCAGTGTTCCATATTTTGTTGATATTTTATGATGTTTCATTATTTGCCAATTCTATGTTTGTGATTTCTGCAATACTTCCCGAACATAAACTAGGGAAGTATTGCAGCTTGTAATATGTGTCCTCGACGTTTCGTGACCATTAGGCTATAAAAAATATGTCTCCCATTTCCGTCCGTCTGTCTGCTGTCTGTTTGTAGTCTACTATTTAAAGTCGAAGTTGTTATGTGTCCCATTGCCAGGAGAGTTTTACTTAGTACTTGGGTCTTGTTGCGTTATCCTTGTGAATTTTTTTACATTTGAAAATTTATTGGAACGGCTGTAGAAGTATAATGTCGTGTATCAAGTTGATGAAACTTGTTGAAACTAGGTAATCCGTTAAAGAAGCTTTTACGATAGTGTAATGTTTATCACATTTAACATTTCGATTTCGATTCCTTTGCTTCTATCACATGTGTCATTCTATTTTGACACTTAAATGTAGTTTCCATGGCCGACTAGTATAAAGATTATGGCCTGTCCAAAGGAATGTCAAAGGTACATTACGTGCTGCCATCTATTAATAATTCAAAAACGATAAAAGAATTATTAACACCTTTTGAAAGGCACAAAGGCATTCATACCGAAACAAACCACCATTACACGTTTTGAAGTCCCATAATGTCAAGTCAAATTAAAATTTTGCTAAATTATTAAGTGTAATTATTAATAGATGGCAACACGTATCGTACCTCTTGGACAGGCCATAATCTTTATACTAGTCGGCCATGGTAGTTTCTAAGGCTTCAAGTATTTCCATTGTTGAGAATCCATTTTGTCACTAACTTTTATCTACCACTTTAATCTTGGTATGACGTTAGTTGCTATAGAACGTCTTGAAAGTTTCTTTGTTGTTCGTTATAACGAGTGATAAAAAAATTTTCAGGTTAGCGTAGGCTATGGAAATAATTCCCATTAATTTTACGTGAATTACGAAAGTACGCGTCAACAATGAAGGTTTTTTGTTTCCAAGTGAATTTTGAAAATAAACTTATTTGAAATTTGATTTAACAAGTTTGAATTTAAACGAGTAAGGTTTAACCAAAGAAATATTTCCACGGCCTACTCTAATCTAAAATCTAACTGATCGCCCGTTATTTATATTTATCTAGTTCCGCTAAAGATATAATGCTCTTATAGCTTAATTGTTGCTCAACTTGCGTCATTTTTAGGAGTTCGTAACAATGAGGGCAGTAATCTGCTTGCTTGGCCAATAGCTTTCATATTGTAAGAATAATAAATACAAATTTTTTCAAAACAGGACGTAGTCTTATGTTTATTGCTTGTATTTACTCAATTTTATTATGGATCCGCTGTAATATACTTATACACAGTTGTAAACGCACTATATCTTTAGCTGAACTTTCCACTGAAACATTTGTATCTTGCAGTTGGACACTTGGATGTTATTAAACATATGAACTAGCCATATATTAGTATAATGGCCTAAAATTTAGCAAACAATTCGCTTATTTTTGAAGTGAAGACGGTTAGTAAGACGTCTAGATACCTTTCTTTTTTATCTATCCAGAGAAAAATGATCTAAAATGAACAAGGACATGTTTTATATATAGTTTTGATTAAATATATCTACATACCTTTAAAGCAAAATATTTGTATGAAGCTTCCAACGTAGTTAAAAAAATATTTTCCTTCCAAAAAAAAAGAGGAAAGAAACATAATATTAGAGTTCAAAAGATACCTCATTTTGTAAAATATTTGTCAAGAAAATGTTACGAGTTGTAATTCTTGTTTTTTTTCTGAAACTATGAAAATTCGATTCTAGGGACCCTAAAAACCACTTTGGGATTGTACTGAGGCGTCATACGAAAAAAAAAACAGAAAAATTCTTGCTAACGGAATCGTTCCTACTTCTCCAGAAATAGTGTATTTTTTGTCGTACGGCAAAAGTGGTAGTTCATTACAGTTCCAAATAGTGTTTTCGTTTTCTGAAACCTAATTTTCATACTTTCAGCAAAAACCGGGAGTTACAACTATGACATTTCTTTGCGAAATGTGAGGGAGACAATAAAAATAAATTTGCAAAAAGTCGGTCTGTCATTGATTTTGTTGGTCTATTTTTTTTTTCACTCACAATACTACGATCTCTAACTTAATGTACTAGTTCCTTAACAGAGGCGCCAAGAGCTTCATCAACAGTTTAAATTCAATTCAGTACAAATAACAAAAACACAATAAAAGAGAGCCATGGTGAAACTTTCTCTTTGATCGTTTTATTTTCAATTCTACCTTTCAAATTGAGGGTAGGTCATTTGATAAGACGAAAATTCGGTACATTTGTCAATTTTCTACTTATGCAATAATGAAAGTATAAAACTGACGTTTATTAGCGGCCAACTGTATACCGTTAAAGAATAACTAACTCGAAAGGCTAGACAATTCAAAGAAATGTTCTGTACTGATGGGACCAAAGAAAGTCGAAAGTGTAGTCTACAGCTTATTGAGACGCCTAACCTTTCGAGTTAGTAATTCTTTGGGATATAAACGAGTCGGAGGTTTCCCGTAAGAAAAGAGTGACGGCAGGTGTAATCCAGCGTCCAGCGGGGCTCTTGCCCGAGACGTAGCTGTTTCCGCTCATTGGTTTGGTACAGTTCAATAAATGCTAATCACTACCGACACCTTATAACTCATTAGTAGCACACGTGTTTTTAGATTAGTAGAAATAATTAATAATAATTACCTATCATCGTCCCGACAATTAAAGCCACCCCACTGACGAGTCCCACCCGTCTCTTGAGGTGAATAGTGTCATTCTCAATTGAGCCCGGCCCCTCCAGCTGGTCCGGCCCTGCTGCGGCTGAGTCTTCAGAGCCATTGAAGCCGCCGCCGTTTTCGGCGTCGCCCCCGAACCCATTGAACCGGAGGCCGCAGGTTGCTCCGTTACATTGGCCGTTGCTGGTCCTGTTGCCGCGCCACTGAACACCATCTTTTGGGGACGCATTATTGTTTCCTGCAACGAACGAAAACATTGTGAATGAGGAAACGGAGAGAATTAATTAGGTGTGATTTTGCTGATTTACGACAGAGGGATTGAGGAGTATTGGGCCCAGTGAAGCGAAGCACGTTACAGATTAGGAACAAATCTGGATGGAGACCTACAAATCTCGTTCTGTACTGATAAGTGATAAAGAAATCGAGAGTGTCAAATGGAATTAATTATTATTAAGTTAAGCCACGACAAAGTGTGTTTTACGCAAGAATTAAGTTATCATGAGGCGGTAGATCAGACAGGTAGATAATGAGTAATTTTGTTACAGTAAGGTTCGTGGAAAACGATAGAGAAGGAGTGGAGGGAACATGGCGATAACAGAATACGAATTGGGTTGTTATAGGTGAATAATTTATTTTGTGAGGAAGTTGGGAAGACTCATTTTCATATTTTCCTTTTGACCTCGGTCGACCCATTAGACCTTTTCGAAATGAGAACAACCATTAAGTTTCATTTAAAGATTGACGACTTTTGGCGCGCTGTTGTAACTTAAAAGAGATTCTGCTATAAGTACTTTCATTAAGGCTCCATTAAAAAATATGTCCATGTGTAAAAGCTACTGATATGTTGAAGCTTTGTTAATTTTTATTTTATTCTTTTATAATTATACAGGGTGATTTAAAGCACTACTCCATACATAATTTTGATGGCAAATTATATGAAAAAAAAAAAGTAAAAAATTCTAGTAAAACTATAATCATTTCACAGAATTAGAGAACGTGCAGAATATTTAAATTTGCTATGTTATCAAAACTACCTTCCACCATTCATCTTGCTTGAATATCTTACAACACACGGTTTTCTTGATTATTGCCTTGGAAACATTTTTACATTGTTTTCTATAATAATTAACCACGATGGAAAATAATTTTTAACATTCATGACATTTTAAGACTCGGAAAGCCGTATTTTAAAGAATTGACTGTGTCTAATAGTAGTATTTACTTATATATTTTTTGCCATATAATTCGCCATTAAAATTATGCAGCAGTGTTCTGAATCATCCTGTATATCAATACATGTATGATGTTTTTTACTATTAGCTGGACTGATTTGGAAATTTATGTTTCACATTTTGTTTATGTACTTTTATTCTTAAATTTGATAAGTGTTCAGTGTAATCTAGGACTATTAGAATTTAATAATCCTTATCAGTGCATTACTTGGTAAATTTTTGATGGAAACTGATAAAAGTTAACACCACCACCCAATATCATTGTTAGTGGGTGCAGTTTTTTACATTAAAGGCAAACATTTTTTAAAACTCTAGTGCGAATGTCGATAACAATACATATGTAAGAACCATCCCATTACACGTGCCCTACATGCACTTGCTATGTCTTAATATTACTCTGTTCATTATTAAATTGAATCTATTTTTGTACATCACTTAACTAGTATTTAAACTTATCTTTTACTCCGTATTGATATCAACTAATAACAAAATCTTGGACCGTTATAAAAAGGATATATGATGGTCCAAATTCATAAAGAATTTATCAGTCTTTAGCAATGTACAGTATGGACGCTCGTGTTGAAAATATTGATATTAAAACTGGAAGTAGTTAAAATTCAAATTTAGATATGAAAAAAAAAATCCTAGTATACTTATAAAATTTGAGAACAATCGGCCCGGTAGTTTCGGCGATTATCAGAAGGCCGACGACAGACGGCAGACCGACAGGTGGAATCTGGAGACCTATTTTTTCGCACTCTCGGGGTCATGAAATGCCGAGAACACAAGTAGCCATTCGTCGGAAGAACCCTATTTCAATACTTCCTTAGCATACGTTCAGGAAGGAAAAATTTTTTTTTAACTTTTGCAATAAGCTTTTTCAACAAATTTCTCATATTTATTTGGAATGGAATATGACTTACTTTGGTATAAAATAAGTGGTTGAGTTTCTATGTTCTGTCGTAAAACAATTCTCCACGTTATTACTTTATTGTATACTGTGCAAACTAAATTTAATCCTATAATTTTTACAAGCAATAACAATAATTGTTGTTTAGTTTCAATAAAAACAGACACAGTAGGTGTTATTGTATTGTATTGATTGTGAGTATCCGATTTTCATTAATATATGTTTGGTCAACAGAAGTATTATTTCACTCACCTGAAACAACTTTATAATAAAGTTGTAAATGTGTTTGTAATTAATGTTCGTGTTTTCAGTTTTCGATCAGTTATAATATAATAAGGTATTTTATTTAGTGAAACGCAAATGATCGCATTAGCAATCTAGTGACGTAAATGTGACATTTTTACCACTGCATTACTATACAGATACTGTGATTTGTTATTATACGTTCGACCTTTGTGTTGTATTGCTCTTTTCCAGAAGTCTGCTTTAGCAAAATGACTCAGATTTTACCTTTGTTTAATTGTGTTATTGTGTGAGTTAACCATCTTGTACAAAATTAAATTTCTATTGCATTTTAATTGGTTCTGTAGCAACTGTTTAGAACACCTAAATGACCAAACTACCTTCAATGTGTTGTATAATTGTAAAAAATAAGTTTCTTCATATTCCCAATACGAAGCAAAATGTTGAAGTCTTGAAATTTTGTCGCATCAGTGTCCAGTAGTCTTAAGGGCAAAATTATGTTGAAATTTCTTCAAAAGTGAAATTGAAAGACATGTACACGTCGTAAAAAGTTTAATGTAAAAAAAATTAAGTGTTGTGAAAAATGTCTTTTTGTTCAGGTGTTGAAACGAATTCTCTAAATGTTACCAGTCTTAAGACAATTATTGTGTGATGTCTAACTCACCGTAAATTCTCTAAAATCAACTCACTTTATTCCTTTTGGTTTAAAATCAATATCGAAACTTTTATCAGGTTATTTTTTCCATGTTGCGGAAGTGACAGTGTTAATCTCTTATATTTCAGTGGACGCCAGTTTGTGTGAAAAGTGTTTACGCTTTTATAATTTAATACCTGCCAGAACAGAGAGTCCGAAATGCTTCTGACAAAAAATATAAAAACTTTGAGTATCAGAAGATCGTAACAACTTTGGTTCAAGATCAGTTGTTAAAGGTTATAAGGATATATTTACTGATAAAAACAAAAACAAATCCAGGAAGGATGAGGCTACAGAAAAATGTTTGTTTAATAGCCATAACCAAAGAATTGGAGTGTGGGGAAAAAGTGTGATTTGGTATTTTAATGTAGTATACATACTGTCTTGGTATGGAATTATTTTCTTAAAATAAAAAAAAAGTTTCCAATAATGTTATGCTCTACACTTAAATATTCGCATGGTAGTTAATAAGAAAAACACTCAACCATGTATTTTTATTCTAAATAGCTCACTATAAAGTTACTTGTGATTGCAGAATGCGGTGTGCTCAAACTTTAGTATCGTCTATTGAAACAATCTTGTTGTTTCTGGTATGATTTTCAGATGTTTAATGGCAGTACCAATAATATCGTTTGAAGTCACAGGCCTATTACTACTAAGGAAAAAACTTGGTGAACTTAATGTGTGTCCTACCTCCAACTTCCTGGCACACTCGCCGGAAACTATTTTTTTTTTTTCAGATGGTTTAATTAGCTAATGAGTACAAGAAAAATTTTAACGTTAAATCATAGTTTACAGATTTTTTGTATGAATGGAAAGGTGTACCTTACCTTACCTAGCCTTGAAGATTTTCGACTGATCACACAGGTAGGGGTGACGTACCAAGTTTTTCTATTAATACTAAGAACGATATCACATTTCATGTACATATTATTATAGTGTAATTAAGCGTCTGAAAATCGTATCGGAAATAACCAGATTCTTCCAATGGCGTCCAGTAAAGTATATATAGGCATACCAAGTGACTTCTATATCTGTATCAGCGTACGTTCACTACACGTACGATTCTTTTTTGTGCTTGACAACGTTAAGTGCCCTGACTGTCGTCGCTTCTCCTTTTACTCGTATCACGTAGAATTGTGTATCATCATTGGAATTAAAAAAAGCAGGACAACCAATAAAGAATGGAGAATATAGGAGATTAATAAGCAAGTCGGCATGCGACGTTCGAATGTTTTGTTCGACTTCCAGCAAAAATTGCACTTTTCATTTGCATTGTAAAATATAAAATCGAAATTTATGAACATGTTTGTTAATTATTTAAATATGCACAGTTCAGAGTTTCCATTTTCATTTACAAGAGGGTTATGATGAACTTTATTTTTGAATTTGCTACGAGGCTTCCCAGGCCACTAAAGATTAAGTGTTCGCACTTATCTGTTTAACCTTTCCATTGTAACAACATTAAAGGTTAATGGTTTTGTGTAAAACCGATAAAATGGAATGCTAATTTAGAAAGAGCAAATGTAAACTAAGGGACGTTGTTGGTTAATAAACTGCAATAAGTAGATTTTGGAATTTTTGATTTAGGTTTCTTTTCTAATTCGCCCCATAATATTATTGCCTGGAATCTTGTTATACTTATCTATTTGTTCTAGCAAAAGCTTAACTGTTGAATTTCATATTACATCCAAGAATACCAGTAGAACTTATATTTTATTATAAAATAACTGCAGGTACACGAGCCTGTTATAACTACGTTCAAATCTCTGAATAAAATATGTTAAAAAAAGATACTTGAAAAATAATGACACGATATTATCAAATTTCTGTAGCAATTTACCATGTTTGCGACAAGTGTGTGTAAAATGTGAGAACAATCGGTTTTGTAGCTTCCAAGATAAATTGTAAAATTTTGTTGGGTAATTTTTTTTTTCTAAAAAACTACATGCGCATGGCTAAACATAATGGTTAAAAGCATTCTGTTTTGAGATGACGTCACTACATTTTTGGTGGGGATGAACAAACAAGTTTTGATCAACGTTTTACCGTTTATAAAAAATTTGAAAAAAGTTTGAAATTTCACAACAATTTGTTCAGTAGCTTTGGTAATTGCTTGTCTAATAATATCTCCGACGACAGGCGGACGATAGACAGAGCGAAACGGGAGACCTACTTTTTCGTCAAAATTACGTTTTTAGCTTATTACGCCCGAATATTTTTCTCGTTTTTGAAATTTTGACCACTTAATAATAAATTGTAGCGTGTCGTCTGTGCAAACTTTATGTGTAGTTTACAAGTAATGAATTTTATATGCCAAGCAAAATACATAAAGGTATTCGAATGACCTAAAATTATTTATTAAATGGAACTTCCACTTCTGCAGGAGAATAAATTTTGTATAAATCTAAAAAGATACATTTTACAATAAAAAGTTTTTATAAGTTTCAGAGTACTTTTCACTTGGTAATGTTTAGAAAGCTTAATGTTAACACGTGTAAGGTCAACTCAGTTGTCAGTATTTCTTTTTTCTGTTGACGGTTTCATCGATCTGGTCGTGAACACAAAAATAGCATAAATTGAAGTCCTTGAAAAATGTCATTTGTCACTACTACTAGTAATTATTTTAAAAATTGCATTTGTTTGAGTTTTTCGTCGCTTAAATCAACCTCTCGTAAGTTAAAAAAATTTGCGCTGAAAGCACTTCAAATCCTGTTGCAATATTAAATATTGATTGATTTCTACCTGTTAAATCGCTGGAAAACCTTCACATTTTTGCGTGCACCGTCTAAAGCTGCACATTTTCGCATAACTCAAGCGTGCAGTTATAGATTTATTTTGATCAATTGAATAATCCTTTATCGTGCTTCCACAGTTCATCAATAATTTATTTTAAATGGTATTAATATTCATTAATCAGGCGCTGTCCCATTGAATAAATTCACTCAAATTGATTGGTTTATACACCCCAGAGGAGCATGAGACCGACAAGTAAAATATTTTTAATAAATTTCAAAAATAAACAATGGGTAATACTAAAGTTACAAGAAAGCTTTTTCAATTATCGATTGTCTCGATTCAAGGGCACAATTATCTTTAGTGAAATTGTGTCATCAAATGCATTCAATATTTACCATGTTGATGACAGGCAGGTCGCGCTCGCTTAATTTAGATTTATTTTAATTTTAGAGGGTCAAAAATAGAACAGCGTGTTGCAGTTTTATGCATGATTGTATCAATTAAAAAAGCCACGATAGGTTGTCGTTTAATCTAAACATTTTGTGACGAACTTATCGACTATCTAATTTAGGCAACCGTGTAGGTATCTATTATTCTTTTAAATAATTAATTTCCGAAACACCTGTCGATGTTGGTTTAGATACGTTCGATTAAGATAATATAGGTTTAATGCTTTTCAGGTTAAGCTCAACTATAAATATGGTCGTTCCACTAACGTGTGTTGACTCTTAAATTTCTTCTAATATTTTTGGCAATATACGTGATGTGATTCAGAAAGAAAAATAGGGAAAAGTGTGGGTGTAGTAGTTTCCATTAATCCGAAGGAAAACAATAATATATCTCGGCGACATTTAATTATACAATTTTCACGGCAAGGTTCACGGGTCATGCCAAAAATGTCATCCAATAAAAATAGTTTTTTCAGCGGTCCAGGACCGGATTAACCCCGCATATTTTATGGAGTGAGGCGTCGAAAAAATTTTTATTATTTTATTTACAAATTCTATGTTAAGGTACAATTGCACCAAGCGTCTCTTCTGTATAAGTTAAGTTGTGTTAGTTTGTTAGGAGTGTGGTGCAAGATTAATACCTAACTTGACATAAACTTACTTTCCTAATTTTTGAAGTTACGTAATAGCCGGAACCTGTTTAAAATTTCCCGTGAAAAACGGAAAATACATTAAAGCAGAAAAAATATACCTTGTGTGTTGCACGTTGTTTGAGAAGACTGACTAAAAGCCTTTATAAACCTGCAGTCCAGGATTTCTTTGATGGTATCTAACATTATCTATCCAACTCACCAGCTCAGGCACTTTGCACTAACTGAGCGACTTGTCCTCAGTCACGGGGAAGCATGCCAACCACTTTGCCAACAGTATGCGAATTTTGTTGATGCTTTTTAATAGAAATCCCCCTCTTTTAGCTGGACTGCTCTATTTTTTCTACGTGTGAATTGGAGTGTTGGTGCATGTTAACAAATGATGAGTAATTGTACTATGAAAGAACAGGCATTGGCGGGAAACGCCAATTTGGAGATCATCAACACCACATCGTGTGACGAAACGTGTTGCGTGGCGTCTGGCACTCTTGCCAGTTGACATACCTTCCACCAATTCATGATTTATCGAAATTCCTGTCGTGGAAGATGCGTGATTTGTAAATCGTGAAATATTTGGTAGCGCAGTTGAAATTTACAAACACTTGCAACGCGTCTAAATAAATCACTTTGGCGGAGTGCAAGATTTTGAGAAATTTTCACTTCAACAATAAGAAATTGTCTTGTTTTTGTAGTTTCGTTTGCAAACGACGGCGCCTAAATTAAAATAGCCCCAGAAATAAATCCCCACGTGAATAGAATTAAAAATAAAACAATGCGACCTTCCTGTGGCATCATGCAATAAATTTGCAAAAATACTCGTCTTTGACCAAAATCACGTACGACTCTAGTGTGTATAAAAGCACGGAAGATCGACATTTATTGGGCATATGCGTGCCTTCGAAGACAAATATCATTTTAAATCGCGTTTTGCCGAGGTGTCTGAAAGATATCTGATATTTAAACTTGATTTATGTTCTTGGTTAAAATTAGAAGATAGGTGGAAGTCGATATAAAAACCTTGTTGAAATTTTAAAAGCTGCTGTTAAAGAAGTAGGAAAATAAACCTCCTGGGACGAAAAAAATTACATTTCAAATAGCGTCTGTTTAGACGTTGCCAAAAATCCGAGTTGAAGGTCATTAACAAAAAACAAAAAGTTGCATAAATCAGAAGCAGGAAATTTATAGCCGCCGTAGAAGTTGAATCAGTCCTTTTAGTTAACTTCAGTAGTTTACAAATAAAAACTTAATTGACAAAACTTACTAATTCATCCACTGTTAATAAGTTCATCTGAAATAAAATTAAATGCAGTTGAAAACGAAATCATAATAAAATTATAATATAAGTGTTTTCCTCCGTTTAAGTTTTTTGATTAACTGGAAAACATACAGTATTCTATATATATATTCAAGAGCTTTCTATAAATACATTTTTTTTTAGTCATCAAGGGTTATATCTACCTACTAATGTAGAACAATGACAGTCTAAAGGATGGTTTTTTCCGATGTAAACAATTTATGAACTCCTCGCTAAACAGATTGAGGACTATTCTTTTATTACCGATGACCCTGACATCTTATAAAATGTTAATGTGTTGTTTTTTGAATGTCTGCGGCAATAGCATATTTAAAGAAAAATTTTAGTAACATCCGTAAATAATTTTTGCAATAATTTTATTATATCAAATTTCTTCTTTTTTATGTTTGGAAGTGCTGGATCGGGTAATTATATGAAGATTGAAATAGTAAAACTGCGTAAAATATTTATGATTACACGTGCTATATTAATGAATAGAAAATTGATTTTAAGAACTGCTGAAGGAATCAAAATTCGTCAGCGCATGTCAGTTTTTCCAACGATTTAACTTTTTTTTTTAAATTATGAAATGTGAATTTACAAGAGGACACATTTTCTGAGGAATTACTGATGCTCTAAACTAAATATGTGTCATTGTTTCTTGCAGTTTACATTGTTACTGTAAATTATATATTTAGTTCTTTTGGCCACAAAAAAGGGTCGTTAAATAAAATTTAATAGAGAAAGGCTGGAAAAGACAGGGTACTTAAATTAAACTTTAACATTCATATATAAAAATAAATCCAGAGCTATACAAAAATAAAAACCATAAAATGCCATTTCACCAACTTTTTCTCACCGATGCCAAAGATGGGACACGTCATGGTTTTAGATTTACATAGGATAAGATGACTATTGTCTTACTAGTTTTGCTTATGGTCTTTATTTTCTTTGGAAAATATGTAATTTGCACCACAAAAGTTATTCAGGTCTCTATATATTTCCTAACCTATTTTCCTTGCACAATGGTTCAAACAGTATTTTGTAAACTTTCGGTATAAATAAAGAAAAAAAAAGATTATCCACCTTTGTGGCCAATATGCTGTCATACTTTAAATAATAATTGTTCTCAGACCCAAACTTAAAAATGGAACAGGCCTTTTTTTGTTACGGTTAATTTTAAAATTTTATATAGAATTAGTAATACTTACCTATTGGAAATAACCAGTTTAGTTCCATGCAGGGTAAAGAGTGAAATGCATGAGCTAATTACATTGTCTAAAATATCTTTAAATCTATTTCGTTTGATAAAAAAACTGCAAAATTACAGTAGTTTCAGATATTTTAACTTATGTTGGTTAAAGCTAGTGAATTAAAAACTGTAAAAATGTTGCTGAATCAATGGGAATGTTTTCTTGTTATTTGTGAATCAGTATAAGCTTGAACAGGTGCAAATGTGGCAAGCTAATGAATATATTGGACTATCGTTAGTAGGTTCAAATTACGAAATATTGTTGTATCCCGTCTCTCAGTGCACCATTTTGCCCCACTTTCCCCTAATACCTCCCAATAAAAACCATGGCTTAAAAATTATAGAAACATTAGTCTCGAGTCACTTAAAAAAAATTCTGTTATAGCTTTTAAATTGTCCCTCGCTTGTTAAGTGAATAGGCCAAATTAGTGTGAGACGGTATAAGATGATGTAATGGAATATTATTTTTGCAGTATGCAACCAACTATACACTGACTCCACTTTAGTCATCAGTTGGTGGCACTGCAAATTTATACATATTTGTACGTTTAATGCTTCATATTTTTAGAGTTTCATTAAAAGTTACTAAAATTTGTGAAAATTTCAAAATTTTAAACTGTGCTACATGATACCATAATCGTATATTACAATGACTAAGGAAAAGTCGAACTGAAAGATTCTTAGTTAAAGTCATTATTTATTTATTTATTTATTTATTTATTTAGATAAGGTAACGTTATATAAAATAATTATATAAACTTTATAAGTCTGATTTGATAAAATTTAAATTTTTGCTTTCTTGATTGAAATATAACTAAAGTTATTATAACTTTAAGAATCATATACATAAATCCCAATTTATGCAAATGAAGATCAGACAAAAATTGTTAACAGTGTCAGTTATTTCCAAGAAACAAAACTCCATTTTAAAACTATTGATATTTACAAACAAAAATATTACGAGAAGTTTAAAGCCACGATTAATAACGACACGCATACAATTAATTAATTATAAAGTGCTATCTTGCCAAATTCCCACACTGAATTACACAGCTATTTATTTCTGACATGCTTTATTCTGATGAACTGATGACTATTTGTCTTTGCAGAAACTCGGTACAAGAGATGCGAATAACTATAAAAACTCAGTTAATTAAATTCTGTATTAATACACGAGTATTGTTTAAGGAAAAAAGGTATTGTTTACGAATTAGATATAAAATGCTTGTTCAGTTGTTAAATGGTATCATGACACGAGGAAGTTGTGTCTGGAATGTTTTTACTTCATTATAGAATTTCATGTTTCACAATCATTATAAAATTTAATTGAGCGAAAAAAAAAATGCTTATTGTATCGCACAGTAACACTGAACAAGGTGTGGGTCTAAGAAAATTTACCATATTGAAATCGTCCAGATAATAGTTAGGTACGCTACAGTGGCGGCTCGTGAAGTTTTCTTCAGAGGAGGCTCAAATTTGAAAACCAATACTTTTTATATCCTTCATTATCTGAATAATTTTTTTGTCATGCTCACGAAAAGAACACTATAGATAAACTATTGCATCGATTAGTCTTTTCAAAATTGCCCTATTTTCACCAACTTTCTCGTTATAGTTCTCAATATCCCTCTTATGAGCGGAATCTAAAGTAGTAGAAGAAAATATGTGTTCCTGTGATTTTTCATGCCTTTACACTGCACATGAGACTGACTTATTTTCGTTGCTCATTCTCGTTAAGTATAAGTAATATTAATATGCCGATAATACCAGCTGTTTTTAACGATCAGAAATAAAACGCAAATAAATGATATAAAAAACACCTTAGGCTTTACGTAGGTACTAAAGCCTAAACACCATTCACCACTGAATAGGGAGCACGCGAAACCACCTCAATGTTTTTCCAATTTACACTCGATCGCGCGAGTTAATAAGAAAGAGATAAAATAATCCGTGCGACTTGATCTGAAAAGAGATGCACTAGCCGGAGGCTAGCGGCCTGAAGCGGCACCCCGATGAACATTTTAGCCAATGCAGTGCTGAATGACTATGCGTCAAGGTTGCGGTCTCAATAGTAAGATGCATTCTCGGCGGAGGCTAGCTTCTACGGCTGAAGCCAAACGCGGAGTGGTGTGAATTATGATTTAAGGGCGCAAATATAATTTTTTTCGATATTTTAACCTGATATATGATGAAAGTAAATTAAATCAAACAAAATATTCTGAATAGTAACAAATGTCTATAAAAATACAAATTCTTTCATCGAAAAAATTAGAGGAAGCTCAGCTCCAAAAAACAGAGGAGGCTCAGCCTCCCCTGCCTCCTCTGAGGAGCCGCCACTGGTACGCTATCATTTAACATTTTATCTCGGAAACATTAAAAGAAATACTGTGTTTTTGTTTATCTATGAACGTGGTTATATTACACAAAACGTTCGTAGTATTTCCCTGTCCTTCTTTGATGATAAGCATACACATGCTATTTATTACGACGAAAACCCAACGTGAGTACAAAGGTTACCCTAGTAAGTAAAAAATGTGTTTCACTGTATCTGTAGTCTCTTTTACAGTGCACGATTTGTAACAATGTGTTTTTATACTCGATCTTTTTAATCAAAATTTGGTTTACCAAGACTCGTGGGAACTTCAATATCCGTCGGGATTCGGTCGAGTTTTGAAGTTCATGTTCAATGAAACTCTCC